AAATTTCAATGGTTTAGGACTTATGAGAGAAAAAGTTAAACAAGTTTTCAGTGAAGCTGCTCTATAACAGATATAAAGTGTTCCCTCTGGGAAATTGGGTTATCAGCATTAAATTTCCTTTGACGTCAGTCACAAAAGGACTGGCTCTGTCTATTTCATTTCACTCTCTCTTCATTCTCTCTCTGTTTCACACACACCTCGTGGCTTATCAGACAGCATTCTATCACACTGTGATGGACATGAAAGTGGATTTGATTAGCACACTGTCTGAAGCCATTCATCAGCCTGAACACTTGAAGCCACTCGTAGAAACACACTTCAACACAATTAGACTCAGTTCAGTGATAGATTACAGTTGCCTTTTTCTGCACGCCCTCTAGTGGCCATTCCGACTTGGTTATTTTTGATTAACGTAATCAGATTTAATCAAAAAGTATTTGTCCTTGTAACTCTGTCATCAGATTAATTGGGACACTGATGTCTCTTTGTACGTGAAATGTTGAGCTGCTAGTGAGCACTGAGGGGTGAAAGGGGAAGAGTGAGAACACCCTGCTGAAAACAGTTCACTCTTTTTCACAAAGGTGGCCATGCTGAGATAAAACATACACCACAACTGCAGCTTTCTTCACTTCAAAGATTGTGTACAACTGCCACAATGGAAAATAGCATTTAAATGCAATGAAGACACTTTTATAAATGTCAAAAATCCAGTTTGCTTCTGGTTCTGTTAATAATATACATTTCTATTAATTCTATTGAAGAAAAATTGAGGGATCCAGGTGGAAATTACATTTGAAAAGGTCAGTGTGCGGAATACCCCCTGGTATTTGGGGGGTTCCTGTTGGCCAGCTACTGCAGTGTTGGCAATTCTTTTTATGCTCTTTTCTAATTTAGTAATGCACATTTAGTAATGCACACATTAATTGAGATCTTCTGCATCTCCTCTTTTGTGTTCGGTTTGTGAAAAGAGTAACAGTTCACTTTCCCACCAGTCTCTTATAAAATTGGGCACGTTTTCAGATTTATAAATATTCTATGGCATATTGTAAAGTTTCACAAAGACATCCTGGGCATAGTAACAGTTGCTGGGCCATGAAGGACAAACTGGGTGAACCAAATTGCTACAGCACCACCCAGAGGCAGACCAGTGCTGCAGGTCTAGCTAGTTAAGAATATCAAAGACAGAAGCTCTGCGATTGTGGGTGAAGTAGCTAAACAATGAGCTTTCCCTGAATTTGTATTTGAGTGTTTTTATCTAACAGACAGCATAATTTCATAATCAGTTTATTTTCAGCGACCCCCCAGAATTTTGATTTTGAAACATTTAGGGGGCCCAAAAGGTTAAATAGGGGGTCCTAGACCCCCCCAGGACCCCTTGTATTCACAGTAAAAGGCAGTTCTAGCTCCCTACTGGCGCAACCGTCTGGCCCCTTAAAAGGCCAGGGCCCACTGACAGGCCCAAATTAGACCTCTGCATTTATCCCATCCGTGCAGTGCAACACCCACATACATGCACACCAGTGAACACACACATTAGGGGGCAGTGAGCACACTTGCCCGGAGCGGTGGGAAGCCCTATCCACGGTGCCCGGGGAGCAGCTGGGGGTTAGGTGCCTTGCTCAAGGGCACTTCAGTCATGTACTGTCGGCCAAGGGGATCAAACCGGCGACCTTCCGGTCACAAGGCTGATTTTCTTCCTTTTTTTCAGGTCCACTGTGTCCTCCTCTCATCGACTAATCATATAAAATTACCTATTTATCTAATTATCTAAAAGTGGCCTCAAACTGCAAAAAGGAATGAAGGTTAAAATGGTGAAAGTGTCATAGATTCTCTATCCAGATAGATTCGGTTGAGTTTGGTGTGAAGCAGCAGTGGCGTTAAGCAATGTAACTTTTGTGTGAGGGAAGATGAAAACGCATTACACACCCTGCTGTTAGGCAAGAGGCCAGAGAAATATTGCTTCAGAATGACTTTTATACAACGTCTTTCTGTTATCTACCGAACATCTTAGATACACAGTCTCCATCAGTTAAAAGCCAATTCACCGCTCGAAAGCTGGTCAGTGTTCATGAGGAAGACAGAAAGTTATCTTCAAAATGATCTCCCTCTTAACCCTTTAACTCTCTTTTAGTTATTAGTTGTAAAGATGAACTCAAATTTCATCTATTAGGCATAGGGAGATTCTGTTAGATGAAGAATTCATTTAAAAAACAGGTTATGGGTTTTAATAACCCAATAATAGCTCCTTAATAGCTCCTTAGCCCAAAATATTCCTCCAGTACCACACAGTGTGAAAAAGCATGTTGTTGTTAGGGATGTGGGTACTCAAGTACTTGGTTAACTGTTCGAGTTGCTATAATTCTAATACTGAAACCACTGTTCAGGTACTCCATTTCAATATAGGAAAACTGAACTGTTATTGTTTAACAGGACTGTAAAATGTCACTGATTTGCTCTTATTTGTATGTATATTACACTGTGCCACTCAGGCCAGGCGACCAGGGTTCTTACTGTGTGGAGTTTGTATGTTCTCTCAGTACTGCGTGGGTTTCCTCTGGGTACTCCAGTTTCCTCCCACAGTCCAAAGACATGCAGTTAGGCCAACTGGGCATGCTAAATTGCCCCTAGGTGTGAGTGTGTGTGTGATTGCATATGTCTGTCTTTTTGCCCTGTGATGGACTGGCGACCTGTTATGGGTGTTACCTGCCTTCCACCCAATGACCGCTGGGAAACGCTCCAACAACGCCTGCAAGCCAGCAGGATAACCAGCTTAGATGATGTGTGTGTGTGTGTGTGTGCCACTCTTAACCTTGACTGCCTGAATGTGAACCTGTGGCAAAATGCATTGTTAAGGATGTGACCCTTTAAAAAGTTCAACTTTTTTCTTTTTTGTTGCTGAATCATTGCGGCCCTATTGTAGTTTCGTGTGGAAGTTAATTTTGGACCTATATATAAGTTTACTTAATCGATCTATATGATTTCTAATTTCAAAGTTTCTGAAGCATATAGAACTGTACTGTATAATGTACTTAAAGGGAATATATTTATACTTATATACTTAAAGGAATTCCCTTTTGAAAGCATCCAAAGTTAACAGCAGTCAGTCAGCACTGGAAAGATACAGCAGCTGGAGGCCTTTTCAAGACGACAGAAGCGACAGCACAGAAGAAGATAAGGAAGAGGCGAAAAACCTTATTATCACATTCACTGCTGCTTGCAAATAAAGTTACTTCCTTTGGGCACTTGTTCAAATCTAGTGTGGAGTAATCTCCATCTCTGCCTCACACCGATAACAATGAGAGAAAGTGTTTTCCCTGTTTGAATCAATTATCAACCTACTACTTATTTATTTATTTTGCACAATCATTTATTTAATAGAGACGTATATATCAGCACAAAAGGATACAAGTACAGTCAGGTCCATAAATATTTGGATGTTAACTAAGTGATTGTTATTTTAATTTTCTATCACAACATATCGGGGCTGAAATTAAATAATGAGTATGAGCTCAAAGTGCAGACTTTAATTTGCAGGTTATTTGTGTCCAAAACAACCAATTTCATACATAAGTGTGTGGTTCCTGATCCATGGCTTCATCTTTGTTTGTCCTCAATTTAAGGTAATATATACCGACCAGCCACTGTATTAAGTACACCTCTTTGTATCTACACTCTCTGTCCATTTTATCAGCTCCACTTGCTATATAGGTGCACTTTGTAGTTCTACAATTACAGACTGTAGTTCAACTGTTTCTCTGCATACTTTGTTAGCCCCCTTTTACCCTGTTCTTCAGTGGTCAGGACCCCCACAGGACCACCACAGGGCAGGTATTATTTGGGTGGTGGATCATTCTCAGTACTGCAGTGACGGAATGATACACCACCGAACACTGTGTCCACTCTATTAGACCCTCCTACCTTGTTGGTCCACCTTGTAGATGTAAAGTCAGAGACAGCAGCTCATCTGTTGCTGCAGTTTGTGTTAGTCATCCTCAGTGCTGGGAATGATCCACCACCCAAATAATACCTGCTCTGTGGTGGTCCTGTGGGGTTCCTGACCATTGAAGAACAGGGTGAAAAGGGGGCTAACCAAGTATGCAGAAAAACCGAAGGACTGCAGTCTGTAATTGTAGAACTACAAAATGCTCCTATATGGTCAGCGGAGCTCCTAAAGCTCATATTAGCTCCTAAAGCTCATATCAGGCATACACTTGGAAAGTATATTACAGAATGTAAACATTACCTTTCATGGAATCCATCTCAGAGCTCCATGCATCCACATTAAATAGCAGATGTCAGCATGCACATATGACAGTCACATATTTTGGACAGTGGAAATTGCGAGTTGGACATGCTTTGATATGGTTTTATAGGCTTCCCCCAATCAATTTGCATAATTTTCAGATCCTCAGCCAGATATATATATATATATATATATATATAAACACACCGATCAGGCATAACATTGTGACCAACTCCTTGTTTCTATGCTCATTGTCCATTTTATCAGCTCCACTTACTATATAGATGCACTTTGTAGTTCTACAATTACACAATTACAAACGGTTGTCCATCTGTTTCTCTGCATACATTGTTAGCCCACTTTTACCCTGTTCTTCAGTGGTCAGGACCCCCATGGACCATCACAGAGCAGGTACTACTTGGGTGGTGGATCATTCTCAGCACTGCAGTAACATTGATGTGGTGGTGGTGTGTTAGTGTGTGTTGCGCTGATCTGAGTGAATCAGACACAGCAGTGCTGCTGGAGTTTTTATAGGTGCATATATAGAACCATAATCTCAGAAGGCAGGAAATGGAGAGGCGAATCAAGTGCACTCATATTCTAGTTTAAAATTAAAATTATTAATTAATTGTAAATTAGAATATGCAGACAAAGAAAAAATGTTTAATGAAGGTTTTAATGAAGTACAGGCGTACAAGCGAGTGACTAGGGGAATGGCTGTGAAAGGGGAAGAGTAACAGCCTCTTCTCTCTTCTAGGTGGGTGTTCATCTATGAGAAGGGCTACCAAACCACAGACATAGCGATAGGCTCGGTCTTCACTAAGATGAAGGGAGTGGCCTACACTGAGATCAACGGAGAGGAGAGGGTGTGGGATGTGTCTGATTATGTCTATCCTGATCAGGTGAGTACACAGGCACTTTTCACATCATGAGCAAAACAAACCACTTTTTATTTTTTACGTTTTATGATAGTTTTGAGACACAGTTGGGCCTAAAACATGTTTTTAAAAATCCAGAGGTACATGCAAAGCATTGTGAGGCATAATACTATACAAAGATTTACCACATATTATACAGATTTACCACTATTTTACTTATCATTTTTAAGAGAACACATAGAAATTCAGAAGACACATGTCTTGTTTTGGATGGTAAATAAAATAGCTTTAATTGAGTTGTAGGCATTGTGACCCCTGGTTCCTATCACCACCACTGTAAAGAAATCAGAATCGGTAAGTTTCTCCACAATGAACCATTTCACACCAAACCACACTCAATGACTTTGTTTACATCTCAACCATTGAACCATAGAAATTTTTCAAAAATATATGGAATTGCTCTTTAAAAATAAAAGTACCCTTACCTTTATTTTGTGAATCAGGTTTGGTTCCTTCAACAGCCTTTCAGTGGAAGGTTTTTTCAAGAGCCATCTTTTTAAATAAGACATGAACAGACATGAACATTTTAAAAGAATCATAACAGAAAGGTTCTGTGACACTTAAAGGGCCCATATAATGAAAAACTAAAATCATGTAAGTCTGTATATGGAAACCATGATGTAAAAACAGCCCATTTTGAATGAACCATTTCTATGATGTCACAAGAACCAACTCATTTACATGTATCCACCTACAGCAGTTTAGCCCCGCCCGTTCATATTGAAGTTCTAAGGAGTGTTTCAGCTCCTTAAGAATGCTTTCTGAATGAGGCAAAATACAGGGCAGCCAATCAGAACAGAGCTCATTTATCTTATATCAGTCTTAAAGGTACAGTAACAAAAACAGCCTGTTTCATTTAAGGGATTCTAAGGGGCTGGAAAATGATCATGTAAAATTCATGTCATGTGAATTATGACCATTTTCCGTTAATAAAACCACACAAATGTTAAATATAAATTAGATAGACTTCAAGAGAAAAGATAAAATATGAGACAGATGGAGACAGATGTCCAAGCATCATTTAGGTGCAGACCTCAAATTGTCAGAGAATACAGAAAATGAAAGTATTCAAACATTGCAAACAAACCTCAACAATTGTGGTGAGTGTGTAAGCTGAACATGACCGAAAGCCAAAAGAGCTCCCGCGTGATGAGTGGTAAACGAACAAATGATGTAAATGGAAGAAAAAAAGACAGATAAAAGACAAACATCATGGATGGCAATGCTGAGCAATCAAAGGAGTGGCAGCGAAACTGTCCTCTGTCAGGATCTGAAAACAAAACACAGTCCTGGAAAACCTGAATAAGACTGTGAGCCTATATCCAGGGTTAAGATGTAATAGAATATGTATTCAACACATATTCAAAATACAGAAATTAGGTATACAGAGTACAGTTACTTTGTACATTTTTAGGTGACTACTTTTACAATACTTACCCACCAAATTAAAAAAACATATACTCTTCCAAAGAAACACCATCAATGCTTGTTTATTAACTGTTTTAAAATCAGCGCATTGCTTGTAGCAAACAAGCTCTTTAGATCAATTCTAAAGCAGAGCTGAATAAATGTTTTTTTACAACCACTGAGTTTCCTGCTAAAGCCTGAGTAGACTGATAAATCAATGTGATGATCAGTTATTAATCTTAGCGTTGAACAGCATGAATTAAATAAAAATGACAGCAGTAATTTTCCCATCTGCTTTATCAATATATATTCTAAATGTATTCTAAATGTATTCTGAATATGTTGTTATGTATGTAAGTATTTTGTTGCACCTTTACATTTTTTAAAATTTCTACATAATTTAGTCACTAAGATGTAAACAATGTCATTCAGAGTGGTTTGATGTGAAATGGTATATTATATGGAAACTCATCAACTTTTTATACAGTTCCCAGTGGGCAGGTACCACCTGACAAGACCACTTAGACAAACTATAAATGTTACACCCAATTGTTCATCTATAGTAATTTAGAGGTTAAACCTGCAGCCCCCATCTTAAGTGATACAGCCCCAGTTTGCTGATTGTAACTGGGACCTGTACAGAGGACAGAGATTAGATAAGGCTGAAGTTAGTGCAGAGCTCTACAGAGTTCAGTACTGTTGCATCCGCCACACCCTATCCCACTTCTGACACCACTGTGGCATTGACATGGAAGAAGACATGGGAATGGCATAGTACTTTTTTCTATGTTACCAATTTAGATATATTTATAATGTAAATATGGACAGTAGGGACACAATCTGCAAAAAAAAAGTGGCACAGAGAAAACAAGATTAAAAGGACTACTTAAGGAAGATATCTGAGCTGGTGGGAAAGAGAAATGCTGAACATATGTAGTATTAGTCTGTAGCATATGAACTGTCATTATTATGTAAAATTTAAATAAAAGCTTTCACCAGTTTTCATTCTATCACTAGCTAGCCACCTTGGTTATCTCAGTGTAACATAAAAATAACAAAGAAGAGCATGAAAATTAAAATGCACAGATTTTATAAAAATTATATTTTTTACAAAGTCAATACTGTGTGTGTGTAGCACTAGAAATTAGAGTTTAAGGTGGGTTGGTCTGCAAGCTATTGGTCTGAAAAGTCCTACTCCAGCCCTGCCAAAAATGATTTATTATATTTTGTTAAATGTGCATTTGCAATTTGAGCAGTGCAGATGCACAGTGACCCAGTGAGTGAGGAAAGCACCAGTGATAATTATACCCATGCTTTAAAAGACCTGCCTGCCAAAACAGGATGTTTGTGGTCAGAACAGTCCCGTAGCAACATAAAGTTCAACAGGAACAAAAGCACACACGGAGAACACTGGGGTAGTAACGTCATAAGATAACTGGCCATCAAGTGTTGAATTCTTATATGAACAAGAACCCGGAATCTCCTTCATTGTGGAGAAGCTTATTGACTTGCCGACAGTGGTGGCGATGGGAACCAGGGGTTGTCTACAGCACAAAAAGCCATTTTATGAACTATCCAAACTACCATTGAACCCATACCAAAGTCTTCTTAGTTTTTATATCCAACACTGATAAAAGTAAAACAGTGGTAAATCAGAAAAAATCTTTGGGGACTACTTTGCCTTACAACACCCTGCATATACCTCTCCACCGTGTAATAACGTCTTGTGAGGCAGCTTTTAGAGGCGCTAAATGCTCTGAATGTCTGATCTCTATCACCTCCACTGTGAACAATTGTAGTTTCTCTAGAATGAAGCATTACACATCAAAGTAACCTTAATTACTGTGTTCACAACTTAATCATTGAATTTTGAAAAATTATGGAATTTTCCTTTCAGGTACCGTATGGTCAGCAGTGTATATATGCACACACTCTCAAACACACGCACACACACACACAAACACACACACACATGCACACACTTATTTTATTTACAGTAAGGGGAAATAAGTATTCAGATACCACAAATTAATTACTGTTGCAAAGCCATTGTTGGCAATTAAAGCTTCGAGACATTTACGCTAAGAAGTAATTAACCACAATGTTTGTGCAACTTTGTGGTTCAGTTTTGGCCCATTTCTCTTGGCATCTTTAATTTCCCAAAGTCACAAGTTTCTCTCTTATGAACTTGTAATTTCAAAGTCCTCCATAACTTATAAATTGGATTCAAGTCAGGACATTGTCTAGATCAGGGGTGTCCAAAGCCCAGACTTAGGGCCAAATGCGGCCCACAAACAGATTTCAAGTGGCCCGTAGCTTCTGTTATACGTGTGGCTTGATAGCCAATACATTGTAGTTTTTTCAATTTTGGAAATATGGAAATTGAGTGTCATACAAAAGCAAACGTATGCACCCCATACGTCAAAAGACTGTAATGAATTCAATATCAGTAGACATGAAACAAAGCGTGGATATTACAATAAATATTCCAGAGAGGGCAAAGAAACTAAAGCAACACAGCATTAACTTCTCATCAGAGTAAATTCAGTAGTTCAGTAAATATTAACCCTTTAAGAATGAACAAAACTATGGCTATATATGCTGTTTAATCTGCTCTTCTCATTTAAAAAAAGTCATTTATGAATGCTGTCATTGCGTTTATTTGACATGTAAAGGACATGATCTAACCAAACTACATGGTTGTATTTTTTAAATTTTGAAAACATAATATTTTTAAACATCTATGAACAATATTATTTGGGCTCACTGAAATTTTGTAACAGTCCGATCTGCTTCCCTTTGAAAAAAGTTTGGCCATCCCTTTTCTAGACTGTGCAAGCACCTTTCTCTTCTGTTTTCAGAAACTGCTCTTGAGTTATTTTGGCTGTATGTTCTGGGTCATTGTCTTGTTCAAGCGTCCATATTCTCCTCAGATTTAGTGTCTTGGCCAGTGAGATTCAGTTCTCTTTTAATATGAACCAGTGCATCTCTCCATTCATGGTTCCTTCAGTGCTATTCATTGTTATTGATTATCATTAATCTAAGAGTGTGTTGTGAAATCTTGGGTGGTGTGCCTGTCTGGGAATGATTAGTTGTGGAACCATAAACTATTTCACTTTCATATTATTAAACCAGTTGTACCAGATGTTTAATGTTTTTGATATGGCAACTCTCCAGTGTGTTTCCTGTCTTCTGCCCAATGACCGCTGGAATAGGCTCAAGCAACCCCGCAAGCCAGGATGATTGATAGTACTAGTGATTTCTATGCTTGTTATGAAGAAAAGGACCATAATACATTGAAAGGGCATTAAACTAAGATAATACAATGGTTAGTGTAATTTTTGACGGAGAAAATATTCACATTTGCAGGTTTTTTTTGGTCCCTCACACAGCCATCTTGCCAGTGTTTTTTTTTGTTTTGTTCTTTCTCATAACACTCATTTGGGGTGTGCCTCTGAAAAACCTTCGTTTGGAGGGCCATGTAGCCCTAACACTTCGACCTAACCCTCAATCTCAACTAAAATCAGGACAACCTACACCTAGGCATGAACAGGCCAAATGGAAGGGTAGGGCTAATTGTTAGGGGCAAGACATGAAATGGGATTGGGACGAAGTCCAAAGAGCTGTCAGTGCCAGTAAAGCAAGCCATCATTAGGCTGAAAACTCAACAAACCCATCAGAAAGATACATTGGGTGTGGCCAAATCAACTATTTGATACAATTTAAAAAAAAAGAAAGAAAGCCTAGTGAGCTCAAGCACCAAAAGGCATGGAAGACTTCAGATTTAGCCAAATGCTTCAAACCTCATTGGTTAGCACATCCCAAGCAACCCAAGACTTTTTTATGGCAAATAAGTGGATTGTTCTGCAATGGTCAAGTTAATCCCTGACCTCAATCCAACCAAGCATGCATTTCACATACTAAAGCCAACCTGACAGTAAAACACCCAAAGAACAAGCAGGAACCGAAGACAGCTGCAGTGAAGGCCTGAGCATCATCAGGGAAGAACCCCAGCACCTGGTGATGTCTAAGAGTGCTAGATTTCAGGCGGTCAGTGTCTGCAATAAAATTTTTAATTTATGATTATATTAGTTTGTCCCATTACTTTTGAGACCCTGAAAATGGAGCTATATATGAAAATGGATATAATCCCTACAATTTTACCCCATTTTGGTGTAAATGCCCTCAGATTGAAGCTGAAAGTCACTTTGAGGTCATATACACTGTTTAATTTCAACTCCAATATTCTATATTACACAGCTAAATTAACAATAACTTTGTCAATATCCAAATATTTATGGACCTAACTGTTGGTTATTAATGTTAGCCCACTATGTTAGTTAATCAAATAACAGATGTTGTCTGCTATACACAACTGATATTGCAAACTGGTTAGGCAATAGTAAAATATGTAGCTAAAATATCGTTATAAACATTGGATTTACATTTAAGTTATACAGGTGATCAGTGGTTTACGTTTTGACATGGAACCATCGCATTTCCAGTGAAGATGTTTGGAAGGCTTTGCTAACACACACTTGCTGTTAAGCCTCAAAGGCACAAAACTGGTTTTGGTGGGTATGGTACACTGAAATAAACTAAATACAACAACATGCCAATCTAAGGTCATCTCACCTGTGAATAGTTTTGATCTTGCCTGTCAATGGCTTGCACTATTTCTGTCCTGCCCATTTCCATGGGACTGTATTCGTGTCCTGTCATGTCCTTCAGGCAGAAAGATGTTTCACATTCTTTTTCCCAGCATTCCTGGCCACATGTCTTGAGCTGCCTTTTATTATAAATAAAATAACAGTGCAACATAAGATGTTTAAGGTTCGGTGACTAAATATAATAAAACACAGTTTAACCTAATGTAAAATTAAGCAATAAGCCACAATAGGCCATGTGTTACTGTGTTGTGCCTAAAACCCATTGCCTGAGGTCATGAGGTCATAATGACATAAAATTAGATTAAATACACGAAATATCAATACAATTTTAAGTCATAATTAATAGGAATTGCTGTAAACAATTCTACAGCCAAGAAACCTAGTTTGTTTAGAGTACACACTTTAAAATGATGGTTCTTTGAGGGTTCTTTACTCAAGACAGCGGTTCTATTTGAAACTGTGAGTTCTATATAGAACTATTTCATGCTTAATGGCTTTTGCAGGGCAAAACGGTTCTTCAGATTGATGGAGAATGTGTTGTATATGCTTCTATATAGAATCTTTTTGAAAATGGTTTTATTTGGCACCAAAAATGTTTTGCTATTGTTACAGTTTCTAGCTTGTAACAATAGGAGAACCATTTTTGGTGCTAAATAGCCATTTTGTCAACAGTTCTTTAAAAACCATATTCAATGGTTCCATTCTAGAAAAGAACCATTTAATGCAAGGGTGGCAAATTCCAGTCCTGGAGGGTCAGTGTCCAGCACAGTAACACACCCACTGAACCAACTAGCTGCTGATTTGAATCAGGTGTATTTGAGTGGGAAAACCACCAAACTGGGCAGGACCCCAGCCCCCCAGGACTGGAGTTTGCCACAGCTAATGGAAGGATATAGTGGAAAGAAATGTGTTGTTATCACAAATAACATTTTTTTAGTGCAATTCACAACTCAAAAGGCTACTTATATTATATTTAGAAAGAATATTATTAATAGCCCATTGTCCTCTATATTGAGTTACCAAGCACTGTTACAGTACTTTACAGTATCAGTTTGGAAAGGGCTACAAAGTTGTTTCTAAGGCTCTGGGACTCCAGCAAGTGCCATTATCTCTAAACAGCAAGAACATGTTAAATTTTCCCAGAGGTAGTCGGCCTATTAAAATTCCTCTAAGTGTACAACTCCAGGAAGTCCAGGAATCCAGGAAGTCACAAAAGAACCCAAACGAGCATCTAAGAAACTGCAGGCCCCACTCGATTTAGGTATGCTCAGTGTTCATGTTTCCACCATTAGAAAGAGAGTGAGCAAAAATAGTGTCTATGGGAGAGCTGCAAAGCAAACAATTGATAACCAAGAAAAACATAAAGGCTCACAATTTCAAAAACAAAGAAGGCAGAGGTCTGGCTATATTTAAGCTTACACAGCATTCCACAACAAGAACATCACACCAAAAGTCAAATATGGTGGTGGTAGTGTGATGATGGGGGATGCTTCACTGCTTCAGGGCCTGGATGACTTGACCTAGTCGATGTAACCATGAATTTGGCTTTCTACCAGAAAATCTTGCAGGGGAATGTCTGCTCATCAGTTCATGATCTGAAGCCCAAGTGCAGTTGGGTTTAGGCAGCGAGACAAAGATCTGAAGTCCAAGGGCATGCCCACCTCTGAATGGCACAAAAGAAACTGAATGAAGATTTTGGAGTGGCCAGGTCAAAGTCTGACTTGAACCCCATTGAGATGCTGTGGCAGGACCTTAAATGAGCAGTTCATTCTTGAAAGCCCTCCAGTGTTGTGGAATGAAAGCAATTCTGCAAAGAAGAGTGGGCTACGATTCTTCCACAGCGGTATTAAAGACTGATATCCAGTTAAACGAATCGTTTGGTTGCAGTTTCTTCTTGCTAAAAGTGGCAAAACCAGTTTTTTAGTGAGATTAGGCTGCTTTTTCACATGGGTGACACAGGTGTGACGTTTCCTTCAAAAAATGAAATTATCATTAAAAATGATTTTGAATTTTGTATTTCATCACAATATCCTTGTCTTAAATTGCATTCTGTATGATCTGACAGCATGCACCGTGACAAATATGCAAAAATAGAGCAAATGAGGAGGGGGCAAATACATTTCCACAGCACTGCAACTAGCCACATTGCAACCAAAACCAAAAAATTACAGTAAAAAAACATAAAACTCTCACTCTGATTGTGCAAGCTGCTTACTTTTTCACCCAGCCCACTTTTACATTCTTGTCCCCAGCACTGTTCAAAGCAAAGTTAAACCTGTACGCATGCATTATCAGTGACAGTCAATACGTCATTTAGCTCTGAATGAACCATGTTCATGTTAACAGCACATCTTTTCTCATCCATATAACCACCTCACTGTCAAATATAAAGGTGTACATTCAGAGCAACAGTAGCATCACATGATGGACTCCGACACATTTCCAGCCTCATAGCTTTAGCCACTTTTCTGTTTGTTGTTTTGTCTTTGGCCAGACATGGTGGGCCGACTTTACACAAGCTGAAACACATCAATGTCTTTGGAGCAGCTTAGAGTAGTATCCCCTACTCAAGGACAGAGTGTCGACAGCCTAAAATTAATATCCAAGATTAAACCCATGATCTTTTGGGTCACAGACAAGTTTCTGACTGTTGATCCACTCCAAAAATGGAGATCTCTAATATTAAGAAGCCTGAAGGAATATAGTAACACAGAAACAGCTGCTACAAGCAGCTCTAGCATACAGCCAAACGCAAAGAGCTTGAATCCTTTTCTTCATCTCATTTACAGGGTGGCGAGTCTTTTGTCGTGATGACGAATTTCATCATTACAGATGGACAGACTCAAAGCACATGTCCAGAGGTATGTATGTATGTATGCATGACTATGATCACTCTAGTATAGCACTTTTCTCATTCTGAAAAAGTTCTTTGCGCAGGAACGTTAAGTATAAGATTGGAAATAAATTGGTCTAAATGAACAAAGCAGCACTAATGCAGACCACAGGTGAAAATGAGCCACAGTGCAACCTCAACACAAGCTTCCCGCACCAGTCATTGGTGTTACTTAACAAAGACCATGTCTTACCAGAACCAGAGCCTGCATTTGGAGAGATGTCCCTGTTCTGTGACATTACAGATGACTTGAGGGTGTGGTATCTCGATGAATTGTGATTGGTTGGTATGTATTTAATTTAATAGTGTTTAATAGGAGTGTAACAATACATGACCTCTATACAACCAATTAGAGGTGATCTCTACAACCAAATAAAGGTGATCTCTACAACCAAATAGAGGTGGTCTCTACAACCAAATAGAGGTGGTCTCTACAACTGAATAGAGATGAACTCTACAATCAAATAGAAGTGGTGCCTACAACCAAACAGAGATTGACTCTACAACCAAACAGAGATTGACTCTACAACCAAACAGAGATTGACTCTACAACCAAATTGAAGTGTAAATCAGTTGGTGTTTACATCCTTATAGAACAAGTTATTTGTTTCACTCATTCAAAATTGTGTGCATACTGTCTCCCAGCCCTGTATTGGACAAATTATTATTATTATGATTTTTACTACATATTAACATGCATTTTCTTAAGGATACGTATGCTGCATTGTGAACTAGTTGGAGCCAATTTAGAAAGACAGCAGGGCAACCAGCCAGTAACATGTTACAGTAGTCTGATCTATGATAGCAACTACTTTCTCCGCATCTTGAAGGGTTAGCATGGATTTTATTTTAGATAAATAATAAAATGCATTCTTAAGCACTAGATGGCTGGCGTTTTACATGAGGAGGTGGAGTAATGTAGTTTTACTTCTCAGGTGTTTCTCAGTGATTTTAGTCACATCTGAATGTGCCATGACAGCTTTTTTTTAGGTTTTAAAGTTATATTTATCCTGTGCATCGTCATGTTGGTACAAATGCTATCATTCTGTGGAAAAGGCATTTTTTTAAGCATGGGGGCTCAAAGAAGCATTTACTTGTGTTTTCTGTAGCTAAAATAAAAACAATATGTACTGACCAAACTGAAGAGTACAAGTGTGAACATTAACCCTTATGTGGTTTACAATTTATGTAAAAATACCAGATATTTAAAATATCACCCGCAGCCAGCGTAGGGTACTCCTTTAGCAGCTGTAGCCAGTCAGCAGCCTGTCCATGTTGTCCACCCTCACACACATACAAACGCATACACACACAGACACACACACTAACAGCAGGCCATGTAGGAGGAGAACAGAGTGAAGGGACACAGCACCTCCACACCTTTATTCCCCACGGGTTCACCCCAACACCACATGGGTAATATAAATGTGTAGGGCGTGTTCCGTGTGAAGTGAGTTATTTTACATGTTCTTCACAGAAAATGAGCAAAGGCCAAGGAATCTGGGTTTGAAATAATAATAAATTGCAACATTGGTTCTTTTGGTGAACATTGAAAATGGGTCTCACAGACCCAAACACCACATTAGGGTTACAAGTACAGAGTGAGAATAGTAGTGTCTAGCTAATACATGAAAATCAGTCAATAAATGAGCAACTTTTAGTTTTAGTTTTAGTTTTAAAACCGGTGGTAAATTAACTCAACTAACTGTCTTTACAGCTAGAAATTTATGAGAATTCCCATTACCGTCATAAGAAAGACAGCGAGAGTAGCTAGCTGCAGTTTGAGGAAGAGTCAAGAAAAGAGCCATCAAATCAGAAAGTTTTTTCTGGGGACCCCTCACATGAGCTGACAGCTTTTACATGTCAGATATAACATTTCTTGAAAGAAAATAAATTTTACATATGAAAATATTAACCACAAACACAAGTTATTAGATTACATACTGTACTCAATACATTTTGTGTCCACATGGTTATTAGCTTAAGCTCCGTTGTCATCAAGCAGTCTCTTGGCCCATGCATTATAACAGCGTATGTCACTTTGACGTGCCGGTGGCAGCAATGCAAGCCAGATAAAAACCTAACGAAACGAAACGAGCCATCTGTGAGCCGGGCAGTGATTGATCTGCACAGTGCAGCATCAGGTTGAACAAGCCTCCCCTTTCCCTGCCCCTCTTACTTAAAACTAATGCATCTGATCCAGCCAATCAGGGACCTGGGAAGAAGTTAATTAGCTAGATTAGATGTGGCAGGTTGTGGTTGAAACTAGACTCCACAGGAAGGAAGATCTCTAGGACCAGGACTGGTATACTTCCATGCAGGACTTTTTCACTCAGATGGGAAGCAAAGTTTTGCTTTTCCAGCTAAAATCTAGTCAGAAATAGCAAACAGCTGTTTGTACTGGACACTGTGATGAAAATGTATATTAATAATATTAATAATATATATCTATCCATGGAATCTTTCACAGTCTCCTCTCCCTACACACAACACCAGAACAGCAGGCTGTGCTTGTTTCTTGAAAAGGTTAGACAAGGTGAGTCTAGGTGAGCAGTGCTGTAAGTTCATTTACTGAATAATTCACGTTTGAGATGGGCTGGATCGCATGTAAGGCTTTAACTGCTGAGGTGAGAATTACAGCAGCCCAAGAAGGAAAAGGTCAGGATGTGTCATCTTGAGTAGGAAGCGAAGGCATGCAGTGTCAAGCTGTATTTAGTTATTAGGCAAATGCCATGGGCAGGAGCAGGGGCAGGTTCTGAACAGCAGCTATGAGATGATGAATCAGCGTATTGCCCACACATAAAGACGTAGAGAGCAGACTTAGCAAAGATAAATGGTTGGCACAGTGTTCCAACACCATGTTATGACCCGTTCATGACAAATGATATTACTCAGTCACAGTGGTGGATTTAGTGATTCTGGGGCTCAAGGCAAAAGACAGAAATGAGGCCTCCTGGATTCACAGCCGTCTACACTGCAAAAAATTGTGTCTTGGCAAGTGAAATCATCTTAAATCTAGCTGATCTATCTAATATCATCTTGAGATGTCGAATATTGTTGCTTGTTAAAAGAATATTAAACAGTCTGAATGACTTGTTTACATCTTAACCATTTAATTATGCAGAAACTGAAAAAAATACACGGAATTCCCCTTTAATACCTCTGATTTCAAAAGAAATGTTAGATGGGTGCGTATCTAAAGTATCTGGGGAAGATACTATTAATCTTTCGTATTATTTCATGTTTTGTTTCTCTTGTTTTCTAATATTGTTCCTCTTATTTTACTATAGGTAAATATTTAGCTTCTTACCATAGACGCATACAGTAACAGTATTGTGTTTTCTTTTGACCTGTAAGCTGCTGCACATGCCTTGTAATGCTTTTGTATCTCATCTTTGCATTAGTCTATTCGATATGTAAAATTTGCCATGCAACAGATTTGAATAGTAGTTTTGCGCCCTGATAATCAAATGTAGTTATGCAAGGAGATGTCTGACACTCTGATTCTACATCTTCCCCCATACACGCATTCACACTTTCTCATTGTGTGCAGGTTATGGACAGCAAGACTGATGAATAGAATCTTTATTAACCCCTTAAAATCCCAGTATTATTACATACGAAGGCTTACTATTCAGCAACTACAGGGACTTCAGTACAAACAGGCTGAGCTATTCTCAGCCTATTCTCAGCTATCCTGGTGGGCCCTGGCCATTTAAGGGGTTAACTTTATGATTCTTTAGGAAATTAACTGTGCAAAGAGTTCATACATTATGAAATTTACAAGACATACAGTAGACATAAATAAAAATGTAAGTTTATACATGTTTGCAGGTAAATTAAATAACCTGAGGTAGTCCTTACTGAAATTAAAGTGGAATCATGAATGTCACATACATACATCACATGTAATGTTGTGAAAAGAAGTTAACACAACATCTGCATGGTACAAACTTCAATATGACACATTCTACAACGTTTAATGCACTATTGCCGTTTACTTGCTAAATTTAATGTATCGGAGGAATGAAAAAGATCAAATGTGGCACATAAAGCGTGTTGTGCTTATGCACAGCAGCCATGGACTCATCTAAGCAGCTGACTGGGGGCAAAGCAAAACCCCCACATCGCTGCCAAGGCCTTACAGGAAGGTTTGGCTTTGGTTTGGATTCACTGATATGTAGTGCAATATTGTCAGACAAACATAATTTCCATGGAAGGGAAGTTAAAGTGCATCTGAAGTTTGCAATTGTTGTACATACTGTAAGTGTGGCTATAATCACATAAGGTATGTTCAGAGACAATATAGAGCAGCATTTCAATAAAAAACATTGCCAATTTTCAAGCATGGGGTGAGAGTACTGTGCTTTGGGGTTGTGTGGCAGCCAGTAGCGCAGGAAATGTTGTGGGGATAGGGGAAATAAGGATAAACTAAAAAATATTAAAAGAGGCTGGATTTTACAAGACAATGATCCAAAACATACCTCAAAATCAAGTCTGACCTACTTCAAGAAAATGAATGATTGAAAAAATTGGTTTAATTTGAAAAAACACTGATTCCTTTTGGTGCTTTTCGGTCATTCCAAACTTTTGAATGTATTGTTCCATTTAAAAGTATGGCAGAATAACAACACTAGAGTAACTAAAGTATTAAAGTGACTGTTATTAACCATTAAATTGCCTGTGTTTACAGTTCAGAACCATTCAGTTATATGTGGTGTGTGTGTGTTTGTGTGTTGTTTCAGCTGCCAGATGGAAAGAACGAATGCAGTTCGGATGCAGACTGCACGAAGGGCCAATTTAAACGTACGGGAAATGGTAAAACGCTAATCAAAACTTCTATGTCTCCAGAGTGGTCATCAGCACTTAACACATTTAACAGGTCTTCCATAGCAGACACTAACTCATTAATCCATTCAAACTTGGATGCAGAGCAACTGAAAGTATCATGAAGGATTGTATGTAAACTATACTCACACAGAGAACACATTAAGATAGAGATCAGGGCCCCTGTTTATCAGCCTTCTCAGAGTCTTTCATAATACTTAATAGAATTACATGCACAGATGTGACCTGATCTAGCATGAGGATACTGGTAGTTTCAGAAAGGGAAGTGTCGATGCTACAGCAGTGACTAGTTGTCAACTGACCTCCAAAGAGCTCTGGTTTGGCCACAGACTTAAGTGCCTGCTATGTTTATCTCTGTACTTTGACTTCTTGAGATTTTCAGGTATGCAGAACATCCAGCATGGACTATCCAGCAATACAGTTATGATAAAAATGTGGCAGTTTATGAGTGTCATTAAGAGATTATGCTTGCAAAATGCAACCCCCATAATTCATTTTTTTGGACTACTCATAATGTTGCCAGCTACCCAACATACATGCCTTTGTAGGTCCAATGTGGGGCCATTGTTGGCTAAAAACTGGGCCACCGTTATGGGGCCCCAGTCAGTCGTGAAACCCTGGGCGTGTGTGGGCACCCATGTTAGGGCCCCATGCTGGTGGTCCACACAAAGCCCTGATATGAGGCTGCTCGCTGTGGGGCTCCAATCCAGGGCATGTGCGAGGCCCCAACATGCTGGCAGCCCACACTAAATCTTCATAAGAGTGGGCTGTCACCATGGGGCCCTCACACTGGGGCCTGTATATGCCTCTGGTTTCACAACTGACTTGGGCCCTGCTAGGGCAGCCTGCGATGGGCCCTATTTTTCGCCCACACTGGCCCCACATGGGAATGTTCACTGGGTAAGTCAGCATGCTTTAGCCTAGATTCATTAGCTACCCAGGACCCCCACAGGACCATCAGGTATCCTCAGCACTGCAGTGACACTGATGTGGTGGTGGCATATTAGTGTGTGTTGAGTTGGTATGAGTAATTTTGATGTTTTTAAACATTGTGTCCACTCACTGTCCACTCTATTAGACACACCTACCTTGTTGGTCCACCTTGTAGATGTAAGATGATCAGTCCAGCAGTAACACTGAGGTGTTTAAAAACTTCAGCAGCACTGCTGTGTCTGATCCACTCGTACCAGTGCAACACACACTAATACGCCACCACCATGTCAGTGTCACTGCAGTGCTAAGAATGATCCACCACCCAAATAATACCTGTTCTGTGGTGGTCCTGTGGGGGTCCTGACCATTGAAGAACAGTGTGGAAGGGGGCTAACAGAGTATACAGAGAAACAGATGGACTACAGTCTGTAATTGTAGAACTACAAAGTGCACCTATAAAGTAAGTGGAGCTGATAAAATGGACAATGAGTGTTGAAACAATAAGGATCTTAATGAAGTGGTCAGTCGGTGTAGGTTTCAATGTGTAGTTTCAGCTGAAAATAAATAGGTAAATAAGTTTATAAATAATCAACAAAATGAAATGAAACAGTGTAACTGTAGTCAAACCCATTTATGGGGAAAAAAGGGAGCCACGAAATGGTAAACAACCTAAGGAAGAAAATTACAGTTCATTCATTATGTGATAGGGGTCACTTTTCAGCAAAATGGACCTCAGTAAAATGTTGTTATTAGTTACGGCCTTTCTCTGAGATGCTTGATAAATATGGGCGCAAAGTCAAATTCACAGGTCTGAGTTAACAAAATTTTGTTTCTCTGCATCCAACACAATGCCTGTTTGAACACATTTTGAGCACTGAATGTTCTTGTTTTTTTACAGTTCTCTTTAGCAATGGTCATCATTTTCAGTTCTGGTGGGCCAGTGTCCGGAATAAGCGGTGATTTCCTTGCTCAAATACACCTGATTCAACTCATCAGTTAATTTGCAGTTTTAGTAGGTTTGTTTGCAGGAAAACACCAAACTGTGCTGGACATCGGCCCTTCAGAACTGTAATAATAATCGATGACCCCTGCTATACAGCTCACCTACAGTATCTTGATAACCCAGCCTGCAGCTCATTAAGAAACCAATTATGTGTTCCAGCATTACTGCAAATAGGGTCAATGTCATCATGCTCAGTGTTAGAACTGCACTGTGTTTTCCTCATGCTGTTTTGAAAGTGAGGTTCTTCTGAAGTCATTATCCATGTTTTGGTCAGTGAACCCATCATCCAATTTCTCCATCATTTCTATCATGGTCAAGCATTACTGCAGACCCAGTTCAAGCTCAATATTTGCTTCTCTGGAGCTCTTCTTCAGCCAGAGCTGTTCTTGCAAATGGTCCAGGATTCAGGATTACGTTATTTGGAGTTGTCCTTTGTAGATGATTAATAAACTCTTTTATGATTAATAAGTTCTTTAGGAAATGATTCAGTGAGTCATGAAATCATGGAGTTGTTTAGGATTTTATTCCGTGCATCATGAAATCTCATATTTCATCACAATTCCATTTCGATTCTTTAGGAAATGATTCAGTGAACCAAGAAATCTTGAATTTCAACAGGATTCAACCTGATTATGATTCTTTAGAAAATGATTCAATGCTTCAGGAAAAATCTGAAAGCTTCGATTCGATTATACTTTTCATCATGAAATCTCAAATTTCACCAAAATTGCCAGTTGAATTCCATTACAATTCTTTAGGTCAGTTTTCTAGTCTACAAGTACATGTTGAAAAAAGGTCTGGTCTTTCTTCTTATGCTCTCAAGCTGTCTGCTTGTCACTGCAGGTATCTAAGGGGTCATCACATACAAACACACACACATATGCAAACACTGAACCGAAGATGGTTCATAGTCATATTTACATAAGAAGACACGCCACAAAGAGAGACACCATATTTACCTAAGGAGTCTCGGCTGTCACAAAAAGACGTCCATAAAATCAGCAGTATTCTTTGCACATAGCAAACAGAAACTGTCCAGTTAACAATATTCTATTTAATTAACATTATTAGAATCCCAACCTAACATTCATGATTACTACCGGATAGATTTTATTGAAAAAAGTTGAAAGATCTTCAAAATAGTAACACATTTATGTTAAATTACATTTAGTACAGACCACTGAAGTTGTGTCATCATTCTGTATTCGACGCCATGCTCTTATGCCAATACAAGGAACTCCGTGTCTAAAAGGAATTTCCCAATGAGAAAAATAAATGAGTTTTCAAAAATTGCCTCTATCACATCCTGTGGTGATCAAAATTTTCTATTTTTTTTCTCTCAAATATCATTAAATCTGAATTATGATGTCATTAAAGAATTGAAATGCTACTGTGCTTGAATAGACGTCATTAGACTGGCAGCCTCCTTAAAAAACGCGCAGACCTGCACACTTTGCCAGTGTGGTATCTTGGCCCTACAAGCTGACCTGTACTAAGGCTACACTGTTGAACAAGAGCACACTGCAGCACTAAAAAGGGATTCATTGTTATGATGTCAAGCTTATAACAATAGAAGAACCCTTTTTGTTGCTATAGAATCATTTTCAAAAAGGTTCTATATAGAACCATATACATCAGTAATCTGAAGAACCATTTCACCATGCAAAGAAACATTTAAGCATGAAATGGTTCTATATAGAACTCATGGTTCTAAATAGAACCATTGCCTTTACTAAAAAACCCTTGAAAAACCGTCTTTTTAAAGTGCATAGAATCCCACAATGGCGCTAGCAGAAAATAACATTAGCATTATTGGAGTTTTTCCTCATTTTAACATGTAAGGCCTGAACTGAAGACCGAGCTTGAATAGTCATGGTTCGCCACTACATTCAAGGAGGTAAACCACTAAGATGTGCAGGCCAGGGGGGCTTCCAGGACCTGGTTTGGAAAACACTGGAAATGCTGCAGAAATATTAACATAGTACATTTTTTGCTGTAACCAGAGACCCAGTTTTGTTGTTTATCACATTAGCATATGTTAAAAGAAATGTAATATGATTGTAATGTGCTTCTTAATGTTTAAGTAAAGTGCAAACTTGCCCCTCCAACCAGCTGCACTGCAAGTTTGCCAGGTTTTGTAGAAATATTCAATCCAAATGTAGCTTTTCTAAGAGTGTGTCAAGAGTGTGAATTGTGAGAAGCTAAGATCACACTGTTCAATGTGCACCACTGTGTTAACAGTGATATAAACCGCTTCCAAGTGCATGTGCAAGTCTAATGCTCTTTTCTTGCTCCCTCCAGCATGAAGCAGAAGTGTGTAGTGTTATATTAAAGCTGCTCTGGGCTGTGCTCTAATCTGCTCAGGCCCGGCTCTGTGTCTTTTCTCTCTACCTAATGTTACTGCACTCTCTTCTTCCTAGGGCACATGACAGGGAAGTGTGTGAACACAACCAGGACGTGCGAGATCAAGTCCTGGTGTCCCATTGAAGATGACAGGAAGATACCAAAGTAGGACATTTTTTCCATACAAAGAATGTAATAAAAATAGTACAGAAATAGAAATATATGGTACTGCGCAAAGGTCAGATAGATACTAGGTCAGATTAGATATAAGATAATCCACTCATATAAACAAGCAGAAAGGGTTCAAAAAATGATCAAAGGATACAGAGACAATGGGACCCCTAACAACCATGCAAGACCTGGTAGACCACCAAAACTGTCCTCATCAGATAAACAGACGTCATCTTTGAGAGAGAGGAGTCAGTCGTCTCTTACCCACAGTGTAGCACTTTATTTGGTTCATATAACCTAAATGCTGATTTTGTCCTTACAATCTTAAAAAGCCCATATCCAATGATTTTCTTGTGTAAATTTTTCCTCTGAGACCCACTTATGACATATGTGTGGTTTCATGTACCAAAAATGGTCATAATTCATTTTTACATAACCACTTTCCATCCTCTTTATCCCTTTAGATTTAAAGACTTTTTGTTACTGTGCCTTTAAGACTGATATAAAATCAAGCTCTGTTCTGATTGGCTGCACTGTATTGCGCCTCATTGAAAAATCAATCTGCGCTGAAACCCTCTTTATAACTTCAGTATGAATGGCTGGGGCTAAACTGCTGTAGTCTGAATTAGTGAATGTAAGTAAATGAGTTGGTTTTTGTGACCTCACAGAATAAATGAAACAGGCTGGTTGGCACTTCAGTTTCCATATATGCACTGAGGAGTGAATGGTACATCTGAAACTTTAATATTGTTTACATATTATTTCAAACTCCTTTATTAAAAAAAGAGAGACATTGGGTTTTTCATGACATGAGCCCTTATTCAATTATTATTAAAATGTATTTACTATTGGGTTATACAGAATATACAGGTTATATACTTTTATAATCAGGCTTATAAAAGTCTGCCAATAACATTGACCAATTTGGCTAAAAAAAAATTACACTGGAATCAAAAATTAATGATCAGTGCATAGCTAATGTTAAATCTTTTTTACTTCTGATCACAGCAAGTGCTCTCTCTCTCTCTCTCTCTCTCTCTCTCTCTCTCTCTCTCTCTCTCAGTCCTCCACTTCTCTCTGTTGCTGAGAATTTCACACTCTTCATCAAAAACTCCATCACCTTCCCAGCATTTGAAGTAGTCAGGTACAGTGTGTTTTTTAAGAATCATACTTGTTTGTGTGTGTGTGTGTGTGTGTGTGTGTGTGTGTGTGTGTGTGTGTGTGTGTGTGTGAGCCAAGCCGTGTAGTCATTACAGACAAAATTCCCAAAAGACGGCTGCTACTGCTGCTTTTTGTGTTTTTGGCTATGTGATGGACATTAGCCCATTTTCTGTAAATAACAGTACAGTGTCTGAAACCCCATAAGCAAGTCTATTTAATTGCAATTAATCACATTAGTTTAATTAATTAGTGATTAATGACAAATTATGACTTGGTATCTCATAATTATGAATTAATGTCTCATAATTATGACTTGTATCTCAAACACACCTGAAAAAAGATGGATCTTCAAGAAAATAAGTGCCTCATAATAATGAGAAAGTTTTATTTAAGCAATAGAACACGTGTGTTATCAAAATAACATCACGGCTGTGATTTGGTCGCCGTAGATCATCACAGCCATGATGTTATTCGCGATAACACACTGCCTCTCGTGTTCTATTGCTTTTATACAACAGTTAAATAAATAAAGTAAGAAAGTAATAAATCGGGCCGTGAACGTGTCGTTTAATATGTTTTAATGTTCGCAATTCCTTCCGCCAAATCCGCTCACTCGCTGCACAGACGGCAGTTCAGTCTCCAGCTCCTTATACTGACCAACTGACAGTTTGGGAATTTAGTGTAGTCTCATCTTCAGAGTCCGACCAAATCGGCTGTCGGTCAAATGTGATCTTAAAAGTATCCATTTTCTGTTTGTGGCAAAGTAAGAATTAAAAACGTGCAAATGGCTTGAGCGTCTCCTACAGCTGTCAAAGTCGTTGCTTAGCAACGGCGTCTCAGTGGAGTGATACAGTGTTTGTGAAAAACCTGTGATGTTATGGTGAAATAACAGCACAGTTAGAACGCTTCTCAACCAATCAGCTTGCGTGGCCGGAACTAACTGTTAATAAGACTTACTATCTCATTGTGATGAGAAAAAAAGGGGAAAAAATATATAATTTCATACTTATGAGATGCTAAGTCGCAATTATGAGAAAGTAGCTGCTACTGCTGCTTTTTGTGTTTTTGGCTATGTGATGCACATTTGCCCATTTTCTGTAAGTAACAGTACAGTACAGTGTCTGTACTGTTCTTATAAGAAATCTATGTCTTTTAGAGTGTAATTATGACTTAGCATTTCATAATGGACTAACTTTCTCATAATAACGTCATAATGTCAACGTCAATGACAATGTCAAAATGTCCTAATGACAGTATCTCATAATTATGACGGCATCTCATAATAATGAGAATATTTTCTCATCATAATGAGACAGTAAGCCATTATTATGAGACTGTAAGTCATAATTAAGATAAGAAACATTCTCATTTTTATGAGGCACTATTTTCTTTAGTTTCTCATAAACACCTTGAGAGCAGAAGAACAGATGCACATCACATCCGTTCAAAAAGAAGGGAAAAAGCAGGCACAGCAAGTCTGAAATGAACAAGAACTGACAGGAAAACATACATTTACGTCTCTCTGCAGGAGTAACCTGGTGGAAAGGGTGGATCAAAATTACATCAAAAAGTGTTTGTATGACCCTGATGAGCACCCACTGTGCCCCATCTTCAGACTCGGTGACATCGTCAGGCTCTCTGGTTTCAGTTTCTCTCAGATAGCTGAAGTGGTAGGTCTTTCTCTCTCTCTCTCTCACACACACACACACACAAACACACACACACACACACACACACAAATACACACACACACACACACACACACACACACACACTCACTTCATGCTGTGTGCGGATTTGCTGTTTGCCCTCATTTCTCAAGGATTTCCTGATAAGCAGGCCTTGCCGGAGAACACTGTAAGCTTGGCTTTGATGTGCGTCTGAGTCCATTTGAATAATATGAATCATAAATACATTTCCACTTCACTCTCCACTGTAAGGCTTTTCCTCACATAGTGTTCACTGACAGCTTTCATTGGCAGCCTTCACACTCTACTGGTGTCAGATTTCTGTACGCTTTATTTCACCCTGCAAAATGGAAGATATATTTTGCATTTAAAGTACGGTTCTACTTTTAAGTCAGAACCATAACTCAGTTAGTCACATGGAATTGTATTATTTCATTTTCCAGCGTCTCTGTATTTAACCCTTAGAATTATTCTGGCTGTTTTTGTTACTGTGCCATTAAGACTGATATATGTTAATAGACTCTCATCTGATTGGATGCCCTGTATTGTGCCTTGTTCAAAAAACAGTCCTGAAATGATCCTTGTAACTTCAGTGTGAATAGGTGGGGCTAAGTGAAAATATGTTAACACATCCTCTACTGGGGACAGATTTAAATATGGCATTTTCCTGCAAATTCCTGCTTTCCTCCGAGCGCGTTCGGTTGTCCAATGACGTTATGTTAGCGGTGACATGTGGCGCTTCACAGGTCTCAGAGAAAGCATGTGCAAGCCTTCGCCCTTCTAGTGCTGGATTTGGGGCAGTCCTAACTAGTGAGTAGAAGTGGACATGACTAAATTGGGGAGAAAATTGGGGGGAAAAATAAAAATAAATAAATAAACACAAAATCTTCTGTAACTTTTGAACAGGCCAAAATGTATGTTTTATTTTTTCCCTGGTATTTTATGTTCAGTAAATAAACAGTAATGGTTCATTAAAATGTGCAGAAGTGTGTTCTCTGTAGAGCATGTGCTAACAAAACTTTTGCAAACAACTGTAAATGAAAAATGATTTTTTTCATTAAAGTCACAAAAAAAGAGATCTCAAAATGGGGTGTTTTTGTGTTTCCATATATGGGAGTGAACAGTATGTTTTGAAACAAACAATATTTACATACATACATACATACATACATACATTTATTCATACTTTTATTACAAAAAACAAGATAAAATAATGCCTTTTAGCACTCTTATCTGGTATATTATAATTCTTCTTTTTCTGCCAGATTTTTTCTGCTAATTCATCCTGCAGTTTTTTAAGATGTCGACACTTCTCCAACTCCAAAATTCGGTCTGATTGGGAATAATGTCCTTGTATACAGCTTTTTGATTGGGAGTACAGTATTCATACAATCATTATTAAATGACCTTTTTCCCCATAGAAATTTATGGAAGGCAAAAGTTTGTGCACTGAGTGTATATCATGATGATACAATTCTATTAACAACACCCTGTTAACCATGCGATGTACCATAGTGATGAGGTAACAGCCCCCGAGCAACCATCAGGGATACCACAGCAGCCACCTAGCAACCTACTGGGATACCACAACAAATTAACATCTTTGCAACCACCTAAAATACAATAGCATCCATTTGGTAGCACCCTAGTAACTGATTAGCTCCTGTTAAAGAAGCACAATCACTTTGGCTGACTTTACAAGATTGTGATGGTTGACAGTTTACAACAGCATTGTCTAAGTAACATTCTGCACTTACTGAGTTATAATCACTCATAAACTGGGTAAAAGATCTACTTTGTTTAAATGAGATCTTCTCTACATTAGTAAGTAAACACTTTCCTGTTACAATCTCCGGCAGGGTGGAGCTATAGGGATACTCATTAATTGGGAATGTAATCTGGACTTCAGTCTCCAAAGATGCATCCCCACGTATGAATTCCATGGCCTTTATGGAAACGCCAAAGAGGGAGAAAGTAACCAGGCATCAGTAGGCTACAACTTCAGGTGAGTAAAGGATGAACTCTCACCTAAATACTGACTACAGGACTTTCAAGAAATTCTTCTTCCTTTGTCAAACAGCCATTTTCAAACACCGGATGGAATACTTTCTAGCTTGAACCAGAGAGATTATAAAGGAGGAGACCGGACACTGGCAAACTTTGACCCAGCCTTGCTCATAAAGGACTAGGCCCTTCACTGCTGTCGGAACAAAACCTGATATCTCCATTTTTGTTATTTTTCAGTTTTTGACATAGTTATATAATGCCTGTTGCTCTTTACACTGTGTATAAATTACATGATGAATGGACCAAAAAAAGTTAACATTTGGGAGGAACGAGGTTTTGTTCCGACAGCAGTGAAAGGCCTAGTCCTTTATGAGCAAGGCTGGGTCAAGGCTTGCCACTTTGCCAAAAAAACAGTCCAGTTAATTAGAACAACGTTAGCCAACAAGCGTCTACATTGCATAATATAATCAAAAGATTCAGAGTCCAGACAAATCTCAGTGCATGAAAAGCAAGGCCAAAAACTACAAATGAATATCTGTGACCTTTGATCCCTCAGACAGAACTGCATTAGACCCAGCATGCCTGTGTGATGGACATTATCACATGGGTTTGGGAGTATTTTGACAAACTGTTACAGTTTAAACACTTTATTGCTGCATTCAGAAATGCAGTTTATGAACACCATCTGTCAACAAGTTCTGGAAACTCCACCGACTTCTCTGGGCTCAGGCTCATCTGAAATAGAGTGACGCACAGTAAAAAAATGTGTATTGTAATCTGACGAGTCAACCTTTCAGGTTGTTTATGGAAATAATGGACATTGTGTTTCTTAAGCCAAAGAAGTAAAGGAGTGTCCAGGATCTGTTGTGGTATGTTATTGCACATCTGTAAAAGTACCATCAATGCTAAATGACATATGCTGCCTTTTAGACACCGTCTTTTTCAGGGGTGTCAACACTAAGCCACATTCTGCTCATGTAACAACAGCATGGCTGCGTAATCAGAGAGTGTGTGTGTGCTAGACTGGCTTGTCTGTCTGTCATTGAAGTTTGGTGTATTATGAAGGACAAACAATGACAACAAAGGCCCTTTAAATTTGCACAGATAAAAATTTGAATAACTGAAGAATAGCAAATAATACTGCTTTCAAAATCAACTGTCTCTTCAACCATGTAACAATTAGTAAATGTCATTAATGGGAAAGATGATGGAACAAATGGCAAACATGGTCCTGTCCCAACTTTTGTGGAATGTGCTGAAGGCATCAAATTTAAATGAGCATATTTTTAATGTTTAATGTTTAATGTTCTGGCTGTGTCTTAAATCAGACTGAACAGTGTGTGAACTCTTCTGTGACGTTTCAGAAAGGCAAAATATTACATGGAGGACAAAGTGGAGAAGAGGACACTGATGAAGATCTTTGGCATACGCATCGACATCATTGTTCACGGACTGGTAAGACCATCAGCCCTCGTTCTGCTCCGTTGTCCATTTACATGTAACTGAAGTTGTTGTCTTCCTTTTAGGCGAGAAAATTTGACATCATTCCAACACTGACAGCGATAGGCTCTGGAGTGGGAATCTTCGGAGTGGTAAGTGTCACAGACAGCACAGCGGTAGGACAAATCAGGGCCACTTTCCTCTATCATTCCAAACAATTCACATTCACCTCCTGATGTTTATGCAAGCAGCCTGATAGATATCGAAGTGAATCCATATTAGGAACATAGTGATTGTACTGTTTTTTTGAATGAAGAGGCCTAACGTGCATTAGAAATGATGGATATTCTGTAATATGATGACCAGGACTGTAAACACATTGAACTGGTTTATAATTTTGGTTCATTTGATGGGTAAGTTGATTATTGTGATAAGCAGCAGGTGGCTTAAAGACGTAGTGTGACTGAACTAGCGCAGTATTTTGACATTTGGTTCCTTCACAGGCGACCGTCGTGTGCGATTTGGTGCTCTTAAATTTAGTGCCGAAGAAAGACTTCTACAAAAACATGAAGTTCAAATACACAGCAGTGCAGGACGAGGTAAGTGCGCATAGAAGCAGGGGACAAACCCATACGGAAAAGAAACACATGGACAAGTATTTTTTTTATATGTGAGATACATTTCATTTCCAAAGTGCATTTCAAACACTGAAGTACATTAAGCAAAAATACATTTTCAAATGCATTTAATGAATGTGCTTTACATATATTTCTTTCCGTTTGGGAAGTGAAGGAAGACGGATGTTGCATTAATTCAGTGATATTGCAAAATGCTAGAAGGGCACACGCAAGCCTCACTGGGGTGAACGGAGATTACAGCTAATATTTTCACTTAAAGAAGTTTCTAGTCATCCATCTAGGAACTTTCCATTTTTCCACAGCAAACAAGTTTTGTACACTATGATGTTAACTTTAGTGCTGCTAAGTGCTGATAGGTTGGCGAGCTGATAAGCTTATTGGCTGAGTAAAGGGGTTTACACTAAGACATGGGAAGTGTTTACACGCACTCAATGATCTGATCATAATCGGATTTCTGCAGTTATCTAATTATTCTTATGGTCATGTAAACAGCATACTCTGATTTTTTTAGATTAAGATATCTGATAAAGATATCTAGATTTTAACTCAGTAATCTGATTTCTCAGTGCATGTAAACTCGATTTCTTTCCGTTATACAGTCTGCGCATGCGCAAAAACAGACGGCGGTACTGGAAATAAGCAAACAGCGTTTCCACGAGATGGCAGTAAAACACTTTTGGAACGATGCAAAACAACCAAGTACATGTTTGACAGAATGAAGGATTTAAATATTCTTCACCTTCTAGATGATGTATGTTTATATTTTCATAGTGACATGAAGTTTGAGTTTAATTTTACATTTACATCACGTTTTCTGTGAGTTTACTGGCTGGTTGCAAAGCAGAAATCCGATTACTCATGTAGACCTGGAGTTTTCCCATTATCTGATTACTTAAGCACATGTAAACATGTTGATTGGATTACAAAATCTGATCTTCTACAGATTAAGTGCGTGTAAACACACTCAGTGTTAGAAAGTACCAAAACTGGAGCTGAAATGCATTAAAAATGACAGCTTTGTTTAAATAGTTACTGTTTAGAGAAAAAGGAGCATTTGTCTATAAAAAATGGATTAACCTTTTAAAAACAGTTAACCCTCCTCTTATCTCTGGGTTCAGTTTGACCCCATTCAGAGTTTAACATCTCTAGATAAATGGTTGACATAATTTTTTGCTTAAAATTTTAGAACATTTGCTAATTTATTGGTGAAAACTGGGTAAACATAAAATTAACATGATATGTTTTCAATGTCCACATTTTGTATGCATCAGTATTCTTCAGTCTCTATAACATGCAATTTTATCATATTCAAACAAACTTCCCTCTGCTGGTCGTTCACACCACATGAGAGAGGGGAAAACATAATTCCCTCCAGTTCCAAATCCCAACCTTGATATTTCCCAGAGGTCTAAATTACTGGGGTAAATTGACCCCAAGGATAAAAGATGTTAGGATAAAAGAGTTTTATTTTGCACCATATTTTTTCAAATATGGCTTACAAATATTGGCAATGTACACTGAGAAAACGAAAGTATAATCGAAGCACACTTTGGGGTTCCTTAGCTTGGCACACTGGCAGAAACCTCAAGGAACCCCCCCGGAAAAAGAGCAGTTCTCTGAGGGACCTAAGGAACCGTTTTATTCCTCATGGTCTGAAACCTCTTTTAAACTGATAGGTACTTTAGTATTTCAAGAAATGCCAGTATCAGCATTCACACAATCTCAGAAAGCCTATAAAGCCTGTACACAAAAAGAGAATTTAAACACAGGCATGCAAATTCCAGTTCAGTCATGCTTGAAAGGATGTTGGGACTCACAAAACCACATAAACAGACTTTGAGGAAACCTAGGAAAGTCCAGAGTTCTTAAAATAACCTAAAGCTCTCTCTTGGAAGCTCCCAAAGTGCTTGAGAGCTCACTCAAAAGAAAAGAGTTCCTCTAGGAATCTAGAGCTGCTTCATTGTTCTTGACGGAACCCAGTGAGATAGTTAAAGGTTCCTGCAGGAGCTTGTAGACTATCAAGAATTTCTCCAGTAACCACATTACATAGGAGGGTTTTTTGAAGCTCCTAAAATGTATTTGTAGTTCTTTGGATTTTAGCCCTACTGGATATTTAAGGCATCTTTAGTTTTTACCATGCAGGATCATAAAAATGAAACACTTGGTAAATACTGATGTCAGACCACTACAAATACACAAAATGCAATGTCAGAGAAAACAAATGGATTATCAGATAATAAAGACTATATCAGTCAGTAAAAACCCTTCATCCGCCACATGTGAACGAGATATCAGACCACTGGTGCTGACAAAGATGGATTTACATAGAAGCCACACTTAAAAACTGAATCAGAGTCGAGTTAGAGACAAACAGCAGCAGCCTCTGTGAAAACACTGCTGCTGTTTTTGTCTGCATACGGCAGATGGTGCCAGATAGCCATTGCTGTCAGGAGAGCTGTGTGAAAGAGTTACATAATCACCTTTCACACTGCACTTCAGTCTGATTCCACACAGCGAGTGCAGCGTCTTTAACACTATTACAAAGTACAAAGTCCATTAACTACAATAGTAAACCACATCTATGCACGAGTGTAGCAGGTACAAGATGATGATACAAACCCACGCACTGCTAGGTCAACTGTGTCCCACCATCTGGGGTAAGATGCTGTAATACCAGTGTTGCCTGAATGTATCTAATGATCTCTATAGACATGTAACACTGAATCTAGCTGGTCAGTCAAACTCCAGTGAACAACTTTGTGTCTTTAACCCCTTAAAATCTCAGGCTTATTACAGACTAAGGCTTATTATTCAGTAACTACAGGAACTTCAATGCAAACTGGTTGAGCTATTCTATGCTATAGAAGTGTGCAATAAAACTGTTGCTGGTGGGCCCTGGACATTTAAGGGGTTAACTGACTGAATAATAAATTTGGGCAGCATGCTAAAAGGGGCTTTTGCCCCCATGTCTGGGGGACTTCATACCCCAAAGGTCCAACATTTTTTTTCCAAAAACCCTCTGAAAACCAAACTTTTCTCTCTGCAGAACCCCCACAAATATTTTTTTTTTATATATTAATTACATTTTTTATTTATTAATGTTTTGGAAACTAATGGAGTTTCCAAAACGTTAATAAATACATAGAGAACACTGGACTCCTAACAACCCTGCAAGATCTGTAAGACCACCAACACTGTCCCTATCCGACAAACAGCACTTCAGTCTTTGAGAGAGAGGAGAAAATCAAGCCCTACTCTTTCTTCGGGTCTGAAAAAGACAACAAACCAATGCTATGGGCCTGAAATGGTGTGTAGCTGTCAAGAAGCTGTTACTGAGAAAAGGAGGGACACTGAAACTGGACAACTGAGGTGTGAAGTGCTGAAGGAGTGATGAGTCCAAACGTGTGTTTGGGATACAACTTCTGACTGAACTTTGGAGGTGTGGGAAATATAAAAACTGAAAGCAAGTCTCCTGAAAAGAATGGGAGCTGTAATAAAGACAAAGAGTGGACACACTCAGAACTGAGAATTGATATTATATTTAGTTTTTGGGAATTCTGTATAATTTTCTGTCAAATATATGTTGTTTGCTTTTTTCTCCTGGTGCTGAAACATGAATAACTTGTATCTAATAGCTGTTTTAACTGTAAATGAAACACATGAAGTGAGCTCTCTGACTGTACACAGCACTGTCCGCGTAGCTGTGTGTTGGTGAGTTGAGAGCACGTGGACAGCTCCTGTTTTTTATAGCCTCTCACAGTCCGCTACATGCAAGGCCAAGACTGTCCCCAGAAATCCCCCAGCGACAGTTACCCTAGCAACACACACACTGACACAACTCATCTATCTCAAAGACAGAAAGAAAATAAAGCAGAGAGAGAGAGAGAGAGAAGAGGAAAGCAAGGAAAAAGAGTAATGAGAAGGGAAAGAGAACAAAGAGAGAGAGAGGAGAAGAGAGAGAGATAGGTGAAAGAAATAGAGGGAAAGAGAGATTGAGAGACTGAGAGAGATTGAGAGACAGAGAGAGGTGAAAGGGTAAAGATAGAAACAGAAAGGAAAAGAGAGAGAGAGAACGAAAGAGAGATAGAGAGAGAGAGATATAGGTGAAAGAAAGACAGACAGAGAGAGGGAAAGAGAGAGATCGAGAGACAGAGAGAGAGGTGAAAGAGGGGAAAGATAGACAGGAAAAAAGAGAAGAAGAGAGAAGAGCGAGAGAAAAAGGGAGAAGGAGAGGGAGAGAGAGAGAGAAGAGCGAGAGAAAAAGAGGGAGAGGGAGAGAGAGAGAAGAGCAAGAGAAAGAGAGATCAAGAGACAGAGAGAAGTGAAAGGGGAAAGAGAGAAAGGAAAAGAGAGAGAGAGAAGAGCGAGGGAGAGATAGGTGAAAGAAAGAGACAGAGGGAAAAAGGGGGAGATTGAGAGACAGAGAGAGGTGAAAGGGGAAAGATAGAGACAGAAAGGAAAAGAGAGAGCGCACGAGAGAGAGAGAGAAGATCGAGAGCGCGTGAGAGAGAGAGAGAGATAAGTGAAAGAAAGAGACAGACAGAAGGGGGAAATAGAGAGATTGAGAGACAGAGAGAGGTGAAAGAGGAGAGGGTTAGAGACAGAAAGGAAAAGAGAGAGAGAGAAAGAGAGAGAGCAAGATAAAAAGACAAAAGCGAGATAATGTGGCAAACAACAAAATCACAAAACACATTTACATTTAAATCACATTACGTTCAATTACTGAAATAACGGAAACGGAAATAAATCTTTCACCTGAAAATATACTTTCTGGCGGGGGCGTGTCTACGGGTGGGCTGAGGAGGGCGTTGCTCACCCAGAGGAATCGTCTGCCCATCTAGTGAAAGGTTTTCCTCTCTAGTTTATAAAATGCTCACTGCTCATAACATCTAAGCCAAAATTAAGTTTTTTCTTTTTCACAGAGTAACAGCCCTGAACCCCCTTCAAAAATGAGACACTGTCATTGTATTTCTTTTGCCCCCCCCATTAAACTATGTTGTTGTTAACATATTTAGAAAAACCAACATTGTTGTTGTTGCCCACCTAAATAATTCAAATGCCCACCTTGGAACACCTCTGCTTTCTGGAAACACAAACTTTTCAAACGAAAGTGACTCAGACAGTGAACTGATGAACAAGAACACAGTTACTTCTTCCCACACATCCTGAGCACTAGTGTGTGTGGTTCACCTCATAACTACATTTATCACATAGATTTATAGTCGTTAGGGTTTTTCTGATTTATAACAATAAAGCTAATTTTCTGCCACCTTGCAGGTGCCAGTTATACAGCTGGAGAAAGAGGATCAGGAAAAGGTAAGACACCTTATTCAAAGTCAGACTTTATTATTATTATTATTAGTATTATTATTATTATTATTATTATTATTATAGCCTAATTATGAAAAACCTTATTATTCAAAATCACAATAGCACTGGCGATATTGAGAATATTTTAGTTTCCATTAATAAAGTTAATAAACCTATACTTCATATTGGCTAAAAGAATGTCTTACAAACCTGGTGTAGCTGGTTTTTATGACTTAAATTATCTTCTTGAAATGATGACAAAGGCTGTACTGTAAGATTTAACCAAACAGATGGCACCTTTCCGGAAAGGAAACATATTATTTATTCAGTTTTATGGATTTAAAACTCTCAAACATTCTGAAGCTCCTAATAAATAGACAGCGGGTAACTGTCAGGTCATGGATATGAGCAAAGCACACAAAATAGATTAAACAAAACTATAAATCAAACTGCTTAACAAAATAAACACCACAGTTTTATAATGTTTATTATAACAAACTTTATCAAATGATTATATTATATTATAAAACAGATAGTTCCGGTCCTAAAATCTGATTGTTCGAAGCTGTTGTAAAATCAACAGTATGCCCTATGACCGCCTCACAGAGACTGAATTGTGTATCACTACGCCACAGCCCTTGTGCTGTTAATGGAATAATCTTTGACTCTCATGCTGCTCACATGGACCACCGAGTATATTCATGAAGTAAGAACCCGTTTTTTTATTTAAACCGAGGGGCTGGCAACTTATGTTCTTAACTACAACTAGGCTGGTTAGCTAGCTAACAGGCTAAAAGATAACCAACCACCTAAACAACACCATCATTAGTATCACAGACTTGAATTAAAGTACTTACAATATGAATAACTGTAAAACGGCGGTATAAAAGTCTAAAGAATGTCACTTGAATGGATTATACGCTTCAAACGTTCGTGTTTCAGTCAGAAGGAGCGTCAAACTCAGGCTGAAACCCAAACGGCTCCGTACCCTAAATAGTGTGCTAGCTATGAAAGTTTATAAATTCTAGCCTCTACAGCCAAATAGTGGATCATTTATCGAGTGTGGATGTGTCTGAGTCCCAAATGGCTATTTCTAAGCTATATTCTGCACTGTTGGGGTGCAGGATCCAGTATTTACATTCCTACGTAGTGCACTCTGTAGGGAACAGGGAGCCATTTGAGGTCAAGCCCCAGCATGAGAAGAGGGCGCCGCTGGATTGGTGCTCAATAAGACTTGTGGTGGTGTTTTGGTGACCAAAAAGTACTTATAAAGTGAAGGTTTTTGCATTAAACATTGCTGTGTTATCATATGTTCATTGTTATACAACAAAAAGTTAAAACATTTCTGAAATGACCACAATATACAACGATGGGCAACTAACGTTCTCCTCATTCAGTCCATGGTTGCATGACAACGATACCATACTTTAAAGGAATTACATTTCTTGGCGGAATACTTGTTTATGTATTATTATTAAGTTATTAAGTTATTATTCTTCATAATAACTTAAATTATTTTCTGAAAGAAATGTGTATTTTATTATATTTTATGTTGGCCACCGTTTTATAAAAGCAATAAACCACATGAGGCAGTGCATTACTGCGAGTTTGTTACAGGGAAGGGGTTTTAGGCACTCTACTTTACGTCATGCCTGAAAACACGTTTCCAGTGACAAACTCACAGTAACGCACTGCCTCTTGTGGCTTATTGCTTTATCAAATTATAGTATTTATTATACAACATTCATTTTCTGTCAGATATATTGCTAAATTATATTCCTAAAAATACTGCTAAAACAGATCAGCAATATCACATTGTGTCAATATCATGACACCAGACAGTGATGTATCGGTCACTACTATGTTGATGAGATTCTGTCCAGGCTCCGTGAAAAACAGTATTCTCCATCTCATTGTCATGGTAATCTGTTTCTTTGCAAAGGAGTGAAGAAGAAGCGAATGCAGCCGGGCTTGCTGACTACTGCACTGACAACAAAGAAAAAAAACAAAACAAAACAAAAAACAACAAAACAAAAAACAACAAAATAAAAAGCACAGAACCCAAAGCACTACACTGGACCACGAGGCCTCTGAGACCTGCCACACTCACACTAACATCACTTCACTCACCTTTGCACAGAGCCAGACGGAGAACCCAAAGTGACCGCAATCACAGCAGCCGTTTTGTAGCCGGGAGTACGGAGGAGCTGAATGTACCTGGTAAACATGAAGAGTCACCGTGGCAGGATGGTCAGAAAATGCTGTTGTATGTGGACAGAATTTTGGAAAGTCAAGGTACTGTGGACTGTGCAGCTGTGAAACAAGTGAAAGAACTTCACACTAAAGTAAACACATTTGTAAATAGATTCACTGTTGATGTAAGATACTGTACCTGGACCTGCCTCGAGCCCGACTGATACACAACCAAATTTAATCAGCTAATCATTCTGCGAATCAATATCAGTCAAAAATTAGACTGTTTCGTTGAACACTGCTTTCCTTAATGTTCTGTCAGATGTCAAATATGACTGTAGGTTCAAATTGTCAAATTTTCTTTTCTTTCTCAGATTTGAAACAAAAAAAAAAGAACACTCATTTTTCACAGTTTAGATTTATTTATTCACTTAGATTGAAACACATTCATTCAGCTTAGTTTGGTGTGAAATGGCTCAAAGTAGAGAAGACTTTCATTACAGCAGAGGTCTGCACAGCTGTGGCTGTGGACTGAAGGCTCCACCATCTTTGTAAGCTACAAGAATTTACGTGTTGTTCATGTGGTCAGTTGCTTTCCAACTCTTTAGAATGACTTCATTATTTTCAACTGTTTTACAGTTATCAAGTGATATTGTTTATATATCTGATTTAGTGATTGTTCTACTTTATTTAGGCTATTCATTAATTTGCTGCATTTCTCTTCATGCGTGCTTAGGCCCGCAGTGGGCTGGTTTCCCGCCTGCTCCCGTGCCACAATATATTGTGGCGGGTTTCATGGGAATCCATGGCAGTGCAGACCTCTATATTGCAGTGGTGGTGATAGGAACCAGTGAACCTTAACATGTCTTCTATGATTTTATATGCAATATTGATAATGGTAAAATAATGGTGAACATGAAAAAAAGTTTTCTTTGAGGGACAATTTTGCCTTACATCAATCTGCATGTACATCTACACCATAAATTTACTTTAAACAAACGTTTTATGCCAAAAAAAACACAATTCAAAACTTTCATAAAACAATTGCAACAAATTATGCAACCATTTCACAGCTCTCTGATGTAGCTTCTAGGTGCATTCAACTCTTCAGACGTCTGGTTCCCATCACCACCACTGTAAACTACTCTGTATTGGCAAAGTCCTGCTCATTTCACATCAAACTGTACTGAACGAGCTTTACATCTTAATGTTTCAATTATGCAGACATTCAGAAGAATCAAAATCCCACTTTCATGGACCCATATATAACATTTACTAAACACCCCTTGAAGAACCATCTTTTTAAGAGTAAATATATGAGAACTAAGCAGTAAAAAGAGCCATTTTTGAATTCAATGTTTTTGCAATGTCATGAAAAACTAACCACATTTACATATGTCCCCCTATTCAGCCTCTAGTGGTTTAGCTCCATCCACTCAAACTGAAGTTATACCGAGTGTGTCAGGTTAGACTGCTTTTTGAATGAGGCCCTATATAGTGCAGCCAATCAGAGCAGAGCTCATTTACATGTACCAGCCATAAAGACATAATAACAAAAACAGCCTGTTTACTTTAAAGACATAAAGAGAAGTTAGAAAATGTCCATTTTCTATGAATTACTGCTGGTTTTGGTGAGTAAAACCAAACAAAACCAAATGTAGGATACAGGCATTTAAAATAATACAACTTAATTTTCAAAAAAGTACACTTGATGATCTGAACTATGCAGACAAATCCTGAGGCCCCTAACATTTGCCGATTTTATAGGCTAAATGATATATCGGTCAGGCCCTACACCAAAAACTCTTTTTTTATTTTCCAGTTAAACATAAACATTAAACATTAACAGGCCACTTTATTCCAAACCTCCACCTTGTACCTCTGACTTTCTGGTGTACAGTTAGAGACTGTAGGCCCTCTACTGACCCCAGAGCTGCTCTTGCCTGCACATTTTTGGATGGTGAGCCACTTTCAACCCAGCAGTGACAGTGAAGTATGTAAAGACCCTAGGAATATCGCTACCATGTCAGTGTCACCGCTGTGCTGAGAAGACTCCCACCTGGTCAACAGCGGTCCTGTGGTCAAAAACTGACCAATGATGAATGGTGTACATGGTGGATGATGAATTGTACATGACAACAGATGAGCTACAGTCTGTAATTCTATATCTATACATTACTGTTCAAAAGTTTGGAATCATTTTTCAGGTTAATAATTAATTTTATACAATGTAGACAAATTTATACAGGTTTTATTCAATGGTTCAACATCATGTTATCTTGATCACTAGTTTCGAAATGTGAAGAATTCTGTATTTCTGTACTTTATTTTACATAGTAAGAAGGTAAACAGAAGGTATTTTAGATGTTTTATTCAATATTGCAATTGATTACAATTTGGATGATGAATATACTATTATATATGTGTATATATATATATATATATATATATATATATATCGCTGCTGTCAGAGCAAAACCTCATATCTCCATTTTTGTCATTTTTCAGTTTTTGACATCGTTTGAAAATGCCTGCTGCCCTTTACACGGTGTGTAAATTTAAAGTAGCAAAAGAAATGGTCCCAAAATTACGTGGAAAGAAGTCTGGTTCCATTGACTTACGTTAAAAGTAACATAGGTTTTTTCCTTCTCCTGTTATCATTTTGGAGATACGAGGTTTTGTTGATAGAGAGATATACATCTCGTCACTGTCGTACAAAATCTTGTAACGCTATTTCTGTTTTTCTGTTTTTGACAATATGATTTGAATTACCAGCTGCCCTTTACATTGGGCCAGAATTCCATGCTGAATGGACCCACAGAAATTACCTAAAATTACTTGGAATAAAATGTTTTTACACCGACTTCTATTAAGATTTAAGGATCTTTTTTCCTTCTGCTAAGTTACCAGGTTTTTGTCCGACAGTGATGCTATATACATATATGTACATGATAACGTTCTTGATACTATTTGGCTCTCAGTTATTACGAAACCATATACAGCTCTGCTCATCCTTCATTTTTACTTTTACTCAATTATTACTTTCTAAAGTATTCAAAACCTATGAAATTGTAGACCAGAGGTCTTCTAATCCAGACTTTGAATCCTTAGAACTCCTGGTTCTAAATAGAACCATTCCCTTTACTAAACAGCCCTTGGAGAACCATCTTTTTTAAGAGTATAAATATGAAAACTAAGCAGCAAAAACAGCCCTTTTTGAATTCATTGCTTTTGTGATGTCATAAAAACCAACCACATTTACATATATCCACCTACTCAGCCTCCAGTGGTTTAGCTCCGCCCACTCACCCTGAAGTTATAAGGTGTGTGTCAGCCTGGACTGCTTTTTGAACGAGGCACTATACAGAGCAGCCAATCAGAACAGAGCTCATTTACATGTATCAGAGCTCATGCCCATGTAAAGGCACAATAACCAAAACAGTCTTAATTCAAAGACATAAACAGAGGTTAGAAAATGGCCATTTTCTATGAATTACTGCTAGTTTTGGTGCATAAAACCACACAGACCTTGAATCCAGTTTCAGGTCCTGTATTAAAAATGGATTCAAAGTGGATTCAAAATGGATTTGAAGACCACTGCTATAGAGTATTAGAACCATAATAGAATCAATACATTTATCTGCAGCCAAACTGGTTTAATATTGGGGTGAACAGCAATTCTACACTTTTGAACAGAATACTTTTAAAAATAAAGCTGCCAAACGGAACTGAAAAGGGTTCTTTAGAGCAACGCCATAGAAAAAAACACTTTCAGCTGCGTCTGGGGGGCCTTGAAGCCTTGTTGGAGAGCAGAGTCTTTTTTGCAAATGTGACTGTCAAGTATGAAGACCCTTTTTAAAGTTTAAAGAACTGCACACGCTCTACACCAATTAAATGGAACCGAACAACCAAGCCAAGAACATTGCTATGTATATAGTGTAGTGTGTATAGTGAACTTCATAGGTAGGTGGAGCTCATGAAGTGGCTGGTTTGTGGAAGCACAGTGCAGATGTTTTGGATAAAGTGGATGGTGGTGATCTTACATATTACTTATTTTTGTTGGAAGTTATTTGCAGAGACACAAATTTTGATCACTGAGCCTACTTGTGAATTCCACCTGACACTCATTTGACTTCCTTTGCTGTTATTTATTAAGAACAAAAGCTCCCACAACATGTGAGCACAACACAAATGATGTTTCCTTCTGCACTAAATAATAAACAGCATCATTGATATTGTTGGTTTGCTCTGGTGTGGAATGTCCCCCCTGATCTCACACTGTCAAAGACAATAAACAAGCAGATCTTTTTCAGGGATTGGTTGTGATATCTTTATTGTCCTTGATTATGTCTAAGTGTACAAAAAGCATGCAAAAAATAGCTTCTTTGTATATTTTTGGTACATATTTACATCGTATTAAGTTGCATTCAGTAGTTTTGTGCCATGCTGCTCTTTTTTTGTTTTTCTTTTTTGTATTTTTGTCATTTTCAGAATTATAAAGTACATTCAGGTTAATGCACAAGAACACAGATATCCATGTAACAACCAGCAACGACAGTCACTCAAGCGAAGAGAAATCAGACGAGTATATGTGAGAAACTGCAGTTCATTTATAGACCATTAATCCTTTTTGTTAACACCCCATTATGAAAACTCACCCTCGTGAACCCTCACATTCACACACAAATTCAGAATAGAAAGATATCTACAACCAGAAAAGCTTTGGATCCAAAAAATATCAAAGTAAAGTGACGTTATATTTCACTGAGCTTGTCAAAACTGCCCTTGTTCCCTTTAACGTAAAAAACACCCCAACATAACTTTTAAATGAGGGCTTTGCAATGAAACTATGGGGCTCTGTACGTTTGTACCTCCTCTAACACACCTAAACTCATTAGCTGATTACCAAACTATTCATGAGCTGAATCAGGCGTGTTAGAGGGGTCCAAGGACAGTGAGATACACTCTGTCTGCTACAAACATCTGAAGTTGTGCACTATTCTCTAGTTGACGTCATGCCCATATAGGGAACTCCAGGACTAAGCCATTTTTCTCTATAGGGAAAATGAATGGTATTTTCAAAAACAGCCAAAACAAAAATGTTCCAAAGCTGATACTCCCCACCCAAAGTTACTGGATCCTCTGAAACATCTGCACCCCCATGAATCCGACAGACCTAATACTGGGTCCCAAAAAAATGAAAGCCGCTTAAATCTGCTGCAGTGTGCATGTACTGTTGTCAATATTAAAATCATTTTACCAAATTCAGCATGTTGAAAGTGAACTTTCTGTGTGCTACCGTGTTTTATATCACTGTATAAAAGATTCCTTTCTTGTTGGATGCACCATGATTGAGTGAGTGCATGAGCACATTCAGAACAGAATTTACATCAAAAATAATAAAAAAAAATAAATAAAAATTAGAGTTACAGTATGGAGAGTGACTGATGTGACGTTTCTGACACAAACTAAGAATATATACATATCTTTACATTTTCAGCTTATTTAGATCATGGTCTTTCCTTATCAAATAAAGGCAACAACAAATCAGAAATGAGCAAAGCAGAAATAGACACTTTTTGTGTTGACCTTAAAGATTTAAGCAGTCATAATATTAATAATGCTACCTATCTTGCACATTGAAATGATGACCAACACATTTGACAAAGCTTGCTGGTTTGGCGAGGTTGTCAATTCAATGCACAGTAGTGTTAGTAGTAGTTGCATGTAGCAACATTCAGATTGTGACAACATAATCTTGTAATTCAGAGGATCCAGTGAGACTTGGAACAATTTTGTTTATGGCTACGTTCAAATCTGATCTTTTCAAATATGTCCTGAGCCACTTTTGTATGTGGTCCTAGATCGGATACGTATCCGATTCGTTTCCACTGCGCGTGCGCCATCAGATTTGATGACAGATTTGAATCACTTACTAATCACTACCTAAACGAGTGTGAACTATCGTGTCAGAGAGATCGGATTTGAACAAAGAGGCTAGTAATGTGAACGTAGCTTATGACAGGGCACACTGAGGCCGCAATTTTCAAAAACAATTGCTGAAGTTCCTTATATGGGCATGTCATCGACCACGAAATGATGCCACAACTTCAGAAGTCAATGTATGCGAAGTGACGAAGCACAAATGATGAGCCCAACCACACAACAGAGACTATACTGTGGTTACTGCTCATTTTGGCATTCTAAAGCTGAGGTATAAGCAGCTGTACCTGTCAGCATTTGTGTTAGCTTGCTGTATGATCGAATGAGTTAAAGGGGTTTTAAAGTTAGCTTGAGTCGTACCATGTTTAATGAGATACTTGAGCCATATGCGCTGCACCTGATATTCGAGCTGTTGTTAGACGTAAGTAAGAGTTATAAAGTTATACTGAGGTCAAGCTCATGCTACACGACATACAAACGACATACAAGTGCATAGTGAACATTAAGAGGGGTTACACTTATGAAACACATACAGCATTTTTCTGAGCATGTAGCAAGAAATTTGTCAATATTGTACACTTTCATGTTTGCGTACCTGCATTAGGTTTATCTGCTAAACAACCTGCGCTGAAAAGAGCAATGTGTTGAATTGACTTGACTGAAATGTGTACATCATCTCCATTTGAAAAATATATATTAATACAGTTCAAAAATGACTTTCAATGAAGAAATTGACAGTGTAACTTGCTTGTTCACTCGATATTATGTCTCAAACACGCTCTTAAGGCATGCCACTCCACTCACAATGTTCAAACATTAACCTAAATCTTTACATTAGACCTATTTAAGATGTAATTATAAAATGAAGGACCCGTTTGAAAACAGTTACCAGGGATGTGCCAATGCCAATGTAGAGACATGCACGAGTCCCCGAGTACTTGGTTAACCATTCGAGAAGCCAGTATACGAATACTGAACACAAATAAAATTGGCATAACACTGATTTGTCAGCCTGTATATTCTCTCTGTCTTTCTGTGAGGGAATATATATATAAAGGATGATGATTCTCCATCAGTATGCAGTGTTGAACCAGTTCGCTCTGGCTCATTAGCTCAGCTGTGGCAGCCTCCATTACGTTACTCATTAGACAGGAATATCTAACGATTTCTGTTGGCTTTTTTTGAACAATAAAGTCTTCTTGAATGATTTTTTGTGCAACACCAGTGCTGTCACCTAAAAAGGTAAGCCACAGCTCTACATTCATTTCAACCAAAATCTGTTTTCCATAGTTTTTCCTTCCGGATCCCTTCATGAACGCTTACAGATACCCTAATATCAAAATTAGACAGAATGCACCTCCCTAAAGCAGACCTTGTCCAAATGTACAAAATATAGGATATTTTTTGTACATATGGACAAGATCCACCTGGTGTATCCTTACACAGAAATTTCCCTATAGTCACATTTATTTCTGTAGGAGTACAAATGCAGTGTAATGAATAAAATGCGGATATTATGGCGCAGTAATCCAGTGTCACCTAAACATTCTGCTCTTCCAGATTCTTCTATTATCAGTTTGAAATATCAGTCCAATCTAAACATCTGTCCCGTGGCATTTGTACAGGAAATATCAATATCATGGTGCAACCCTTACAGCTACAATGTATGTTATGAATAAGAGAGATAAATCATTGTCAGGGTTGGTTGTGTAGTGATGGGAGCTACCTGATGATGCATGTTGATAAGAAACTGGATCTACACGTGAGCCTTGGGTGTACAGTTGTGTCAGGATCTATATGAGGGGTCCAATAAGGTTTTATAAGGCCTAGTTGCACCTCCCCCCTTCTTCTGAGTAGTCATGCCACTGACTTTACAGTATTGATGCTCACCTCCCCTCCAAACACAACAGATGACCAAAACATGCTAAAATGGACATTTTTTTACTTATCAGGTCACAAAGTGTTGTATTTTATATGTGTAAAAATGATATTTTTAACATTTTATGTAATCTGATTACATAAGAACCTCTTGGGGATCCTGAACCCACGGTTGGGAATCCCTGCATTAGGAATTATTTCAAAACTAACACAGCAGTTAATACATTTAAAATCGATAGACTTACAAGCTGTTTTGTATCTGCCTGTGTCACTGTGTAGGCAGCCATCTACATCACCACAGAGAGAGAAGGCTGCTTTTAGAGTTTTTATACTTTCACCAGCGTGAATAATTAGCAGCTATTCTAATTTGGGCAGTCCCCCCAATATTCACTTGATCCGAAAGAGCACGGCTGCTTCCTAAGCGGACAAAATCCAATTTAGACGGGTGCCAATTTAAAATGCCCTCGCAATTACAGTGTGATTAGCCCGCCAGTCCGCAGCTGCCATTATTGTCCAGAAAACAGTACCGTTTGCCCAGCTGAAATGCTTGGAAGGCCCGATAAGGGTGCCTTTCAAAGGGAGGACAAAAAAGACGAGTTTGGTGCTGGACAGCTGTAATTCAGGACTTGAGGGACTGCATTTCCTTTAAATGCCGGGTGCTCCGATACTAATCACTGTATTCAGATTGCGGGTGGCTGTCTGAGACCGTGCGAAAGCGATTCTCTCTGTTTCTGCACCAACACATGCTCATTCACTCATGTGTTTATGGATGGATGGATGTTTGTGTGTGTGTGAGAGAGAGACTGTCTGCATTCCTAACTGACAAATAAGCCGTTCAGAATGAAGAGACTTTGTAAATAATGACAGATTTCTGCTTCTGCAGGGAGACAATAGCACATTGTGACACACAACAGTATCTTTGCTACCGATTCTGTCAGAATGGAGCATCTGCAACATTCACCATGATGAGGAAAGAAGTCCTGTGTGGTAGTGAAGTGTGTGTGTGTGTGTGTGTGTGTGTGTGTGTGTATGTTTAACCCCTTAAACTGCAGACTTATTCAGTAACTGATCTTAAGACTACTGTAACTGTACACTGGAGCCACAATAAAATCACAGGGCAATTACTATAAAACTAACTGGAGGTTATGCAGTGAGAAAGGAATTAAATGTAAGCCACATACAGGCTCATGCACAGAGCCATTTCCTGCTGTAAGAGGTATAAGCAGTAATTTAAGGGCCCTCAAGTCACAAGGGTCCTCCAGTATGTACAGTAAATGTGAAAAAGTCAGAGATCACCTTCATTTATTTAATTTCCAGTCAAATCAGCCATTAAGTGCAACTTTCAAGATTATCAGGATTTTTTTATTTAACAGTTAATTACAGAGAAGCCTCAGCAAATAAATATAACGTCAGTGTTTCGATATTTAGCATGTTCACACTTTGCTTTTATTACAGCTTCCATTCTTTTCGGGAGACTTGCTTTCAGTTCTGAAATCTGCTGAGGTATCTTTGCACATCTCTAAGTTCAGTCTTAGAAGTTGGTTGTATTTTCCGCTTCTCACCTTCCAAGTTAATCTCAAACACATTCAGTGATGTTGAGGCCTGGATTCTGGGGTGGTCAGTCTGTTGCTGTGGGAACAGCAGCAGCTTCTTCATTTGATGTGCACATTTGCTTCTTTTAATAATTTTTTTTCAATTTTTTTCCAGTTTTGGAAAATCCATTTTTTTAACCTATTTTTCTTTGATGTTCCGCTTCATTATGCAGAAGAATTATGTCACATCTAAACTCCTCAGAAATATCTCCTATGGAGATATATGGTGTATTTAGTAAGGTATAATAGGGTAAAAATCTCGCACCAGATATTATGTGGTGGGCACCAGATACTTTCAGGTGTGCACCACATCAGGGGCACACTGGATCTTATTAGGTGAGCACCAGATACTATGTGTTAAGGTCCCGATAAATATAGATGATTTGCTAATCATGCCTGATAGTATCAGGGGCAGACCGAATAGTATTGGGTACTCACCACATAGTATCTGGTGTTTACCAGATGTCCCTTCAGGGGCTCCATAATCTCCTGAAAAAACTGTACTTAACTGGAAATGAAATAAATGAAGGATGGTGTCTGACTTCTGAAGAGTACTGTGCTTTATTTATTTAATATTGCTTGCAGAAAAAAAAGAGTCCAGTGTTATTTTGTCCTGAAAAACAAACAAACTAAGCATTATTTGTTTTTAATTCTTGCATACACATTTACGCATATGACTGGGTTGGGTCTGGGCCCCCCACATAGGATGTTGCTCAGAGACGGCCCTGTCCTTGCAGTTTAAGGGGTTAAAACAAGAAGCCCTCAAACACTTTGCATGTAATTGTGCGCAAGCCCTATTCTGTAGCATTGTGTTTGTGTGAAACACGCATATTAAGACAGCCCTATCATAAGTGGCTTGTTTTTGCCCATGTGAGTCTGTGTGTATGTGTGAATGAAGATACGTTCTGAGAATGCTTGAATATACCAAAGTGGCAAGCATAGTAAAACTGGCCATGTTGAGAATAAATATTACGGTATGCAAAGCGCGACAAAGCAAGACATCAACATTATATTCCACACATATACAAAAAAAGAGCTCTACTGAGCTGATGGAGCCATGCTATTCCTGCTTCTGCCGGTAGGGGGCACTAGAACAATGTCCTCGTTCTAGATTTGAGATGTTAAAGCAATGTTCCTCAGTCAGAAGTAGCTCTAAGTCTTTTGGTTGTCCGTTCATAATTTTTCCAACGAGGACCTAAGCTTAGTCCACTTTCAAGCAAAGGCAGTTCTCCAAACACACCTTAGAACTCAGCAAAAGTCTCTAAGATTGAGCAGAGGTCCACTCACTTCATCCAGGACCTGCTGACCGCTTGAGCATGAATGAAATATAAAGGGTGGCTTTTCCAAAGTGAAGACGTCAAATGAAAGAAGGTCCATGTTCCATGAAGTTCCCAGTGTCTTTCTGGCAGGTGGAGTTCCACTGTGGGGAAAAGTGAAGCCATTGACATCATCATGGAGAAGAGAGCTGGTGGACATGCAGCTACAGGTGTCCAGAATGAAGGAAGGGTCAAGTCAGGACCAAAAAGCAAGGGTGGTCAGGCTAAACTACTGGCATCCAGGCTCTGGAATAAGAATAGTCATCAGAGGAGTGGGAAAGAGGAGCTACGACTAAATTAGCAAGAAGTGCAAGCAGAACTGAACTTGAACAGACAGCAAACTGGCGTGCAGCAGTATTCGGTTTGATGTCCAGTGTAGTAGTTAGTAAAGGGCAGGGCACGTACAGTCATCAGCGAATGTCAGAAGAGGCGAAGACCCTCAGGAAGAGGGCGGCTCATCTTCATGCAGGTCCTCCAGCTCCACCTCTCTTCCACCTTCTCCACTGCTACCTTTTCTAAGAAGGAAAGAGAAACAAAAACTTTATATTGTTATATGCAATATTATTTTAACAATCACTGAACACTAATGTAATAGCTTGACCTCATATTTCCCCTTAATGTACCAATAGAATTGAATGCTCTGGAGCAGCCTAGGGTCACCATGACCAAGCCAAGCGTCGGCTAGGGGGGCATAAAGCCCCCCAGCATTGGCTGTGGAGCGATAGAACTGCAATATCTGGGGTGATCAAGCAAGGCACGTCAGGAACTATCCGGGATGTCTGTGGTGAGTTGGAGTTTTCCAGAACTAATCATTAATAACTTGAAGAATATTAAAAAAAAAATTAATTTACACAATTTTCCACTTACCCCAGATGTAGCCAATCAGCCAAAACATGTTCCAACTTTTGCTTCCTTAGTTTAGCGATGGAGCTACAAGGCTAATATAGCTAACACTAGATTTCAGTAGACACACAAAAAACCCCAATCCTTTGTGTAAATTATATCATTAAAACGTCTCTCAAATCGCATCCACATCTTAATAAAGTCACGCATACTAGTCAACACTGTGTTTTAGGACACAGTATGACTTACCTTGACCTATATTAATGTACGGGCAGCTATTTCAGACAAGTGTTTTAAATGAGTAGACTGATCTTGGATCAGATTCCTCCATATATTTATATGATCATTGTTACATTAACTAATTCTAGATCAGCACTCCAACGTCTGAGGAGGTCAGAGAATAAACACCCTGTGTTCAGCAATGTTCGTCAGATGAGTTTTGTTCATTTTGAATGATGTATTTTTACAAAAACAATTTGGGTTATTTGGGTGACTACTGAAATATAGTATTTGTGAGTAACATCGCAGATCCAGTTCTAAACCAAAAAAACACAATTTGGACTAAATATGAAGTGGAAAATTATGCAAATTCGATTTTTCAGCCAGCTTTTCCCATAATGCTCTTGATTTCACAAGAAATGTTCTATGAGCAGGTGTCTACAAGTGTGGCTAACAAATGATGGAAGTGCCATTACAAGCTCCTTTAGAGACAATAGTGTGTCAGACACCCTGTAAACAAGTTTATTTAAGCTTATTAACTGTGCTAACTGAGGCCTGCAGTTTGCATGATGCTAACGGGTAAATTTCAATTACTTTTTTTTAAATTAGCCTTGTAGCTCCAGTGAAAAAAAATTAAAGAAGCAAACTCCAAGAATGTCTTGGCTGACTACATTTAGGTAAAGAGGAAAATGCTGGGGAGAGTAGAGCATAATACATTACACCTAATACATTTTGTTTTTTGTTCTAAATAACTATAAAAGTGTTGTAACACAATTACTAATAATAAAGTATTACTAATACAATTGATTATACAATCAACCTACACATCTCTGCTACAAATGTAAAATGTTCAGCCAAAAGTGCCACGAGTGCACCCCATAGGTAGGATTTACTGTGACAGACTAAGGGGCTACATGTAACAGTCGCTAAAACATCAATGCAAAAGACGAGTTCTATGTTGTTAGAACAAGATGAGTTTTATAACCCAAAGACATAAAAATATATTAATCAAAATACATATAGATCTTTAAAAGAGTGTCCAATGTGGCAAATTTATTTTTGACCACAAATTGGCCGCAAAACAACACTGAAATATATTTCATTTACATGATATCTTCAGCATGTTTTTGATTAATTCAGTGTTGAATTCATATTAAAGGACGTCTCTCACTGTTTAATTCAGGAGCCTTTGTTGTAACACTGTGTTAAAACTAACTCCGCCATGTGGAGGCTACACTTTAGCCTGGCTAAAACTTATGCTGCAAATTCTGCAAATTACACAGGCAATAAGTACTAGGTTATCAGTACAATTATGTTAAAAATGTTATTTTAAATTCATTTTATGGTACAAAAATGGTATTCAGAGTGAATCCTGAGAAATATCTTTTCAACTGCTGTCAAAATTCACAGCAGATGTTGCTATGGGAATTAGAGATGATGAATAAAAGCACTTTCTACTTGAATATCTTTAACTATATTAAATATTGATGATACATTTTGTCTCACTCTCTCTTACACTTGATTTTTACAGAATTTATTCCTTTAAAAATCAATGCTCTTACTTAAAAGGAGAATTGTAAAATAATAAAGGACGTTGCTCATGCTCAGTCTCAGTAACTGACAAGCTTACCAAAGCGTATATGTAAGCTTGTGTAGACATGAACTGAGATGAGCACAGGGGGAACATTATTCTCTGGCTGTAACACTAGAGACACCCACAAACTGATCCAAGTACAGCAAACAACAAGCAGATTTCAAAGAGGGGAAGGGATACACAACACAACAAACACAGACAAACACTGGGTTTGCCCATTCAACAGTGATGACCACACTGCTAAAATACAGTATGAATATGAAAAGATGGACATTCAATATGGACATGTCATCTTACATTCAAGAGTCTTAAACCAGCAGGCACACAAAACATCACTGAAGAGGATAAGGGGTTGCATGAAGCATTTGACCTATGGCTAACCATACAGCATGATGACCATAGAGATGGCCATACAGCAAACAGTTACCTTAAAGAAGGGTGGAGTTTTAGAGAGGGGCGGAACGGCCATGAGTCCCTGCACCGAAGAGAGAGAGAGAGAGAGTGAGGGAAAGAGGGTCAGAGGTCATAGGTAGTTGGAGATGTAACAAGGGATGGACACTGTCCTTTCAGCAACTGTGCTAAAAACATCTTTTGAGCCAATGCACTAAAAATGTGATTAAAACTGCAGTGCTAAAAACTGTCCTTTCAGCGACTAGGCAAAAAAACGGAATTTCAGCAACTGTGCTAAAAAAACATGGGTCACTTCAGCGACTGTGCTAGACATTGTCCTTTCAACGACTGTGCTACAAAAGAAAAAATAAAAAAAATCATTGACTGTGCAGAGACTGTTCCGTTCTGCAACTATGCTAAAACTGTCCTTCCCACAACTGTGCTAAAACTGTCCTTCCCACAACTGTGTCAAAAACATCCTTTGTGCCAATGCGCTAAAACTGTCCTTACAACTACTATGCTAAAAACTGTCCTTTCAGAGACAACCTACAAAAGAGACAAAATCAGAGACTGTACTAGAAACTGTCCTTTAAGCAACTGTGCTAAAAACTGTCCTTTCATCTACTATGCTAAAAACTAGCCTTTCAGAGACTGAGCAAAAAATCAGATAAAATCAGAGACTGTGCTAGAACTGTCCTTCCGTCAACTGTGCTAAAACTGTCGTATTAACTACTGTACTAAAACCTGTCCTTTCAGCAATTGTGCTAAAAACTGCCCTTTAAGCGACTGTGCTACAAAAAGACAAAATCAGAGACTGTGCTAGAAACTGTCCTTTATGCAACTATGCTAAAAAACTGTCCAATCAACTATGGTACTAAAACCTGTCCTTTCAGCAACTGTGTTACTAAAAAGACAAAATCAGAGACTGTGATAGAATTGTCCTTTCAGAAACTGTGCTAATCAACTACTGCACTAAAATCTGGCTTTTCAGCAATCAGAGACAGAATTTTTGCAATATATAAAGAAGTTTGGTTTAATGTCAGACACTTTTCGGGGACAACTAGTATAAAATATAAACACCACTATAAACACTGCCGACTCTATAGTACTGCAAATATGAAGTATATTATTAAATCTTGGACACATGGTCAGTTTAAAAAAAACAGCATTGCTTAACTGTATGCTGAAACTGAGGAGCTCCACTGTGTGTGTGTGAAAGGTTAATGAGAAATACATAGTGAGAGTATAATTAAAGTTGACGCTGAATTATTAATGAGATGCAAATGCACCGCACAGAGAGCGAGAGATTTAATTTGACTGCAAGAATAAAGCAGTCAGGTAGAGAAAGTTATTTCACCACCAGGGGGAGCTGTTTTTTAGCCTTTTCACATATATATATATATGCAACAGCAGGGTCACTCCACCACTGCGGCGGCAAACAGGTTACAAACACTGAAGATGTAATCGTAGTGTAAAAGAGACTGTTAGCTGAACAACATCAGTTGTAACCGAACTAAAGAAATTACTAAAATCTGAGCTTTTCTAAAATGTAGTCCACTCATACTTGTTTCAGTCACATTGTATGTAGAAAATACTGCATTCATGTTGTTTATTTTAGCTTTAACATCACTTAAAGTGTCATGAGAAACCCCACAGACACAATCTTCTTGCTATATCTAAGCTGCTTGCTAATTTATCAGAAATATAAGGACTTTTCATTAACCATGCACTTGCTCAGAGTTAGTCTTTTATTCTTTGAGATATTCCTAAAAAATTCAAACCTTCCTTTTTTGACATTTCATGTTTCTGCAACAACACTTACAAAAAAATTGAGATATACTTAACACAATTTTACCATAGGACAGAAAAAATAATGCATTTTTAAACTGAAAAACAAAAAACTGAAAAAACAATCAATAAAATATAAATAAAAAAAGAATTATCAGTTTTATTATCAGTATTTCAACAAGAAAACAAAAAAATCTGCAGACATCAACTTTTCCTAGTTTATTCTTATTTTGAGCTCATTTTTATGGGTTATGAGATTTGTGGGAAACAATTTGTCCCTGCAATGGCGGAATGACCCAGTAGCAAGAGAAAATATGAAAAATGTATTATGTAATTAGGTCATTTATCATAATATGTTGGTGAAGTTCACTAAGTACTACATAAAGCCGCATTTTTGTGGAAGTTAATACAGGAAAACCTTTAAACCAGGAGCCAAAGTATAATGTTTGTGGTGGGCTGAGGGCCAAAAAGACAAAAGAGCTAGCTCACTAGCCTTATGCATGTGGATGAATGCTGTGTGCTTTAAATACAATAGTTTTCTTTCGTGTGAAGCTGACTAGTTTCGTCTTTAAATTCCTATTCTTGTTCCGATTAAGATATCCTTCACTCCAGTGGTCCCTAAATCTCTTCTTATCTGTTTGTTATGAGCACTGTTTTCCATTTCAGTCATTAACTGGAAGACACATACAGTGGCAAAAAAAAATATGAGAACCATTTGGAATTACCTAGCTCTCTGCAATAATCGACCATAAAATGTGCCATTCTTTAGCAGATTTACTTGCGTGTTTAGGGTCATTGTCCTGCTACATCACTCAGCTTCTACTGAGATTCAGCCGCCGAACAGCCACTCTCATATGATCCTGTAGGATACTTTGATAAACTCTCTCTTAATAATGGCAATTGGTCCAGGGCAGCAAGCAGCAGAGCAGCCCTAAATCATGATGCTTCCGCCACCATACTTCACTGTTGGGCTGGTGTTTCACGTTGGTATGTAGCACCGTTTTTACACTATATGTAGTGCTGTGTGTTCTTCCCGAACAATTCTACCTTAGACCTCAGTCTGCAAAACAATTTCCCAGGATTATTGCAGAGTGTCAAGTTGCTTTTTGGCAAACCACAAGTGTGAGCAATGTTTTTTTGCAGAGCAGTGGACACCATAGACACCATGTCTGTTCAATGCTTTTTGTACAGTAGACTCATGAACAGAGATGTTAACCAGTTCCTGATTCCTTCAAAGCATTGGCTTTTACTCTAGGGCTCGTACTTCATCGTGTGTTCGACAATGTGCTTTTGGAGTGATCTTGGCTGGGTGTCCATTTCTAGTGAGAGTAGACACAGTACTAAATCATCTTCATTTACAGACAATCTGTCTAACTGTAGACTGATGAACACTTCAAGATCACTGAGTAACCGTTTCCAGCTTTTATGCAAACCAACAATTATTGATCGTAGGTTCTCTGAGAGGCGTGGTTCATATCAGCAGATGCTTCTCGTTAATAGCAAACTCAAAATGTTTAAGGAACATTTACAAGTCAAAGTAGCTCTGGCCCACACCACCAGTCTCATCTCATTGATTGCAGGTTTGCTAAGTCCTGACTCCAATTAGCTTTTGTCAAAGTCATTAGTCTAGGGCAGGGGTTGGCAGCATGTGGCTCTTTTACTGCCCTGTTGTGGCTCCACAGCAGATTCAGACTTTCAGGTAAAAATCAAATAATCTTCCTTTGTGGTAAAATAAAGCTCTGCTGATCGTTTTAACAAAGTTTTACCAATAAATGATATTAAACGCGGGAGTTCTGCTAATTCACCTATGTTTAACACTAAAGACCAGACTCCTGGTCACCATAGCAAAGAGAAAGATTTAAGATGGACATGGATAATTTGGAGACGAATGGATTTATCTGTGTGTTTATAAGCACAAGCTGGTTTCCTGATACATTTAATCTGCAATGATAAACTGTCAAACACTAAAAAGTCACAAAGCTGAACTCAGTTTCTCATTCGAATTTTCACGTTCCACCTTAAAAGGTGCAGCAGGTACTTTCTGGTTCTTTAGGTACCATTTAAGGTGGAATGAGAAAATTCGAACAAGAAGCTGGAGAATGAGAAGCTTCAGTCTCATAAAAAGCTGATTGCTGAGAGACATTTTTTAAAAATTATTTTACTTTTGCGGAAAAGCTTCCTGCTGGAGATGTGAGAAAAGCGGCTATAGCTGAGCTAAAGCTTAAAGCAGAGCTAAGTCTGCATTTTAATTTATATTTTTTATCCTATACTAGTACATCAGCACATACTGAGACATATTTACAGACATGCTGGTAAAATGGACTAAAATGTTGTGGCTCCCAAAGTGGTTTGATTTTTATTGAAAGGACAAAATGGCTCTTCTCAACATTTGGGTTGCCGACCCCTTACTAGCGGTTCACATACTTTTTCCAAGCTACACTGTAAATATTTGAATAATGTATTTATTATGGACAAGAAAAATGCATTATTTTTGTGTTATTAGTTTAAACAGATTATATTTCTTCTTTATTGTACATTGGAGGAATTCCAGACTATATATTAAGACAACTTTATAAATAAATGCATGTAATTCCAAAGGGTTCACATACTTTTTCTTTCCACTGTACGTGCTGTTACATCTGTGTTGTGGTTATTGGCGACAGTGTGGTGTTAAGGGCTGTAGATTTTGCACAGTTTTATTTCATAACATTAGATGTTTTCTTAAGAAATAAAAAATAAAATCTAATCTTAAAAAAGTAAGTTACATAAAAATGTTTGTTCTCTCATTAAGAGAGGGGGTGGGGAAGTTAGGGTAAAACATTTTTATGGGCCAATTTTGGGCTTCACTCGCTGACCAAGTCTTGCTCGAAACTGTCTCTGAAAGACTGATGCTACCAAGGGAGCGTTTTAAAGAACACTAGTAAGACGTAACACATAAATCAATGTGTTTTTCTTTCCAAGAAGCAGTCTAAAAAACAGAACACCTGTAATAAACCTGCAAAAAATGTGGCTCAGAGCAAAACCAAGGCCTAGACATCCAGACCCTTAAACGCAGTGCAAGTGCTTTGCTCTGGCAGGTGATGGTTGTGGTCTGATGCTTGTTAGAGTGAACACTTTTTCCATGTGTGAGGAAGAGCTTGTTAAGGAAAGAGGTAGAGCGGCATCAAGGCTACACTGGCAGTGAGAGAGGATTGGAAGAGCACGCTGAGTGAAGTCTATCTGCTTCTGCCGGCCTTGAGTAAAACACTCTGATGAGCTGCACTCAGACCAGAACTTAGAGAGAGAGAGAGAGAGAGAGAGAGAGAGAGAGAGAGAGAGAGAGAGAGAGAGAGAGAAAAGAGTAATGGAGAGAGAAAGAAAGAGAGAAAGAGAGAGAGAGAAGAGAATACTGGAGAGTAATGAAGAGAGAGAAAAACGAGAGTAATTGAAAGAGAGAGAGAGATACAGAGATAAGGAAACAGAGAAAGAGAAAGGGTGAGAGACAGAGACAAAGAGAGAGACGAGATGAGAAGAGAAGAGATGAGAAGAGTGGAAAAAGAGAAAGATGAAGACAGAGAACTAGTGGGAGAGAAAGAAAAGAGGAACATGAGAGAAAAGAAAGGGCGAGAGACAGAGAGAGAGCTATAAGAGAGGGATACAAACAGAAAGAATGATATAGAGAGCCAAAAAATGGGGAGAGGGAGAGACAGAGAGAAAATGGAAAGAGAGAGAGATACAGTCAGACAGACAGAGAGACACAGCAGGGCAGATATAAACAGAGAGAAAGAGAGAGAGAGAAAGGAAGGATATAGAGACAGGAGAAACAGAGGGGGAGAAAGAGAGAGGGAAAGAGAAAAGAAAACAATGAAAAGAGAGAGATACAAACAGACAGAAATAGAGAGAGAGAGATAGGAGAGAGAAAAGAGAAGAGGAAGACAAGAGAAAATTAAGAGAGAGAGAACTACGAGAGAAGGATACGAATAAGAAATGAAAGAAAGAAAGAAAAAAGAAAGAGACAGAGGAGAAACAGGGGAAAGAGAGAGAAAGAGATACAGACAGAAATAGAGAGAGAAATGAGAGAAAAGAGAAGAGAAACATGAGAGAGAAACAGAAAGGGTGAGAGAGAGTGTGTGTAATGGAAAGAGAGAGAGAGAGATACGAAACACGCACAGATACGAAAGGTCTTCATAATGAAGGGAGGTCATATGGAGGTTCTGACAGATGCTGAGCTGAGTTCTGACCAGTCACTCATCCTCAGTCCTGCCTCTCCTGAGAGTGATAAATACTTAATAAAGCGTGAGTCAGAGTCACTGCCTCATCATCACTCGCTGCAGGAGGAGAGCTGCGTAGCACAATCGCTAAAGTCATGGTTTATAGAGCGCTGCGTTTCAGCACAAAGTGCCGGAGAAGAACAGAACGGAGGTAAATGTCATTGACTCACGCTACTATGGAAACGCTATGCTGCCGGTCAGAGGGGTAGGTAATGGGTGCTTATTAGTGTGTCCCTCCTGTTCACCTGTTCAAACAGCCAAGCAAGCCATTCCAAATGGCATGCTGTGACCTTGCTCATGTGGTCATCTTAAGAGGGAGAAAAGGGATTGGATGTGAAAAGAAGGGGCTATTCAGCTGACGTGAATGACCACAGTCAAAAAACAGGCTAAAGAAGGACAAAGATAGTGGGCTGGGTTTAATAAGAGCACAGTCTGTAGTAATTGGTTAACCCTGTCAGGGTATAAAAAGTCATACGCATAAGTTTGGGCACCCCCTGGTCAAATTACAGGCTTTGTTGATTTTGTAAGTGAAAACAAGTTAATACATCCTCTACATAGAACATTTTAATGCACAATTACAGTTTATTTGCTGAATTTAACATCAGAAAAAAAACTTAGTTATGGCACATTAATGTTTATGTTTTATTTTTCCAACATGTTAAAATCAGCAAGTAAATAGAAACTGTACACTAAAATTTGCACTAAAATGTCTGTTCAGCTGAGAAATTCTGTGGTGTGATTTGAAACTATCAATTGATACAACATTTGTGTTAATATTAAAAAGGAGGTATTTTATTATGCATTAAAATTGAAGTTACCGTTAAGCACACTGTCTTGTTCCGCAGAAAGAAAGTCCATTCTTTTAATTTTTAACTTCAATTAAACGTCACTTCCATGCCAAACTATTTAAAAGGTGTGCCAGAAGAAAGTCTTTTTTTCATCTAAACATAAACGTAAGCACTAGATGCTTCTGGAACTTTGACTGGAACTGGGTTCTGCGGTCATATGAGACGAAAACAGAGCCTGGGGTGTAAAATGAAGGATGGTAATACAATAAAGAACCACGACCCCACTGTTAAGTTTGGTGGGGGACTCTTGTTTTGGATTTGTTGTTCCTCCCAAGGTTCTTGGAACCTTGTTAGGGTACATGGCATTATGGACTCCATGACATACTAAGATATTTAAATGAAAATCTGGCTGCCTATATTAAATCTGGGCTGTGGCAGGTCTTCCAGCAGGATAACGATCCAAAATATCGCTGCTGTCGGAAACTTGCATCTCCATTTTTGTCATTTTCAGGTTCTGACGTAATTTGAATATGCATGTTGCTCTTTACATTGTGTGTAAAATTCATGATGAATGAACCAACAGAAAAGGCCCAAAATGACTTGGAAAAAAGTCTGGTTCCATTGACTTACATTAAAAGTACAGTATGTTTTTTCCTTCTCCTGTAAAGTTATCATTTTGGAGATACAAGGTTTTGCTCCGCCAGCAGCAATATGCATCCAAATGCACATAAAAATTGTTCAGTGACCACAGAATCAAGCTTTTGACGTGGCCATCCCAGTCCATTCCAGGATAAGACGCACTGCTGTTATGTTGGTAAACTGAGTTTGCACAAGGTACTACAGAGGAAAACAGAGACATAAACAGTGTGTGTTAGGAGCACTCACATTAGCAGGCTTCCTGGGGCAGACATGGACCTCTCCTCTCTCCTGCTGGGACACTCGAAAGGGTTCCCGAAAGAGCGCTTCCGCAACATGGCCTTCACCAGGATCTACACGGAAGAAAGAGGGAAGGCTGAGAGAGGGAATGGTTTAACTAATGAGGTCTGATTTATTTATATTTATCATATGATCTTTCAGTACATTATTCGAGTGTAATTCAATTTTCAAGCATATACATGCCATTATATGACGTTACTTTTTTATATAAAGTACAAATCAAAACCACGGCCAGGTCTGGTGGAAGAGTTTTCATTTATTTTTACTTTTTTCCATAATTTAGAATAATACTGAAGACATCAAACTGTGAAATACACATATGGAACCAACACAGTAAGATATATAGGCCTTCTGTCTAATAAGAATACTGAGACCCATCTTACATCATGACATGACATCTGATGGACCCACCTTCTTGCGACAAGACAACAGATGCCCTGACATTCTTCTGCAGAATTTCCTGATATTAACCAGCATTAATAGCACCATGAAATGATTGCAAGCTGTCATGGTCCAAAGGCAGCCACAAATGGTGATCCACCACCACCATGCTTCACAGCTTGAATTAGGTTCTTATGCTGAAACATTTGGTTTTCAACAAAAAGTTCAGTGTTTTTGCCTATTCAATTCAAATAACATTCTTTCATTCTTTCACCCCTGCAGGTAGTCTGTAGGTGACTTTAAACATGCAGTAATGTTCTTCTTGAAGAATGGTGGCTCCCTGCTATCAATGTATACACACTATTTATGTTTGCCTGATAGTGGATTCAAGAACACTGACATTAGCCAGTTCAAGAGAGGCCAGCAAATCCTTAGATGTCATCTGGGGGTTCTTTGTGATCTCCCAGGATATTACACTATATAATAATAGATTTCTGTTGCACAACCACTCCTGGAAAGGGTAATAATGGTGTTAAATGTTCTGCCTGACAGTGGATTGGTAAAGTCCAAACTCTTCAGTCCCCCACACTCACTTGATTGTTATCCAATTCCTTGAACCTCTTGATCCTAATTATCCCCTATACTAAGCCGATTGTTCTAGGCATTTAATGTTGGATCACTTTGTTCAGTAAACAAATGATTTTTTCCTATTTGTTTTATTGGGTCCTCTTTATTTATCAGACAAAGATCTGATTAAATTTTTGGGTCAGACTTATGCAGAAATTCAGAGTGTTCTATATGGTTCACAAACCTTATAGCACTGCTGTACTTGTGGTCATAAATAGTTTACTATTTCCATTTGTCTTAGAAACAAATTTCAATCATTTAAACATAAACCACCAGATAAAATGTCCTTATGATTCAATGAAGTGTGTCCAAACATTTGACTGGTACTGTACCTATGCGCACACACACACACACTCACCACAGCAGAGAGGCTGGGGACGAATTTGACAGAGTTTTGAATCTCCTCTTCAGTAACCTCCACCACTGTGCAGTGCTCTTCTTCTAAAGGCAATGGGTCAGCACCATCCTGAGTGACCCAGAGGTCCAGCTAGACACACACAGACAGAGATTATAAACTTCAGCTGTTGGCATAAACCAAACCAGCAGAACAGCACAGATTATTTACAGTATAATAAATGCACAAGTGAATAATATTGTGAAAGATCCACTCAAATTCCTGGACTACACAGCATTTTCAGTGGTGAATCTCAGTTGAAGCTGTGACCTGTGGTTCCAAACAGTTACAATGGTGTTTTAGATGGTTGCAAAATGGTTGCTATGGTATCCCAGGTGGTTGCTAGGTGGCTGCTATGGTTCCTCACATAGTTAACAGGGTGTGACTAATGGACTGGCATGAACATGAGACAAATTGGGTGCACAAACTTTTTCACCCCATTCATTTCCATAGGAAAAAAATTGTCATTTAACTTTAATTGTACGAGAACCATATGTCCGATCAGAAAGCTGTATACAAGCACACCATTCCCAATCAGACCAAACATTCTGGAGCCATCTAACAATAGTGTCTGCAATTATCAATCAATTTCTAAGGGTTGAAGAGGAGAAAACCCAAACATAATCTGAAACATATACAAATGCATTAAAAACATGCCCTAAAAACCCCATCTAACAGAGCTGAGGGAGCGGAGTGCTCCCTAAAGTGTCTCGTGTGTGCTCAGGGGAGTTCTGCTTTAATGGAACATTTCATATTTAGGTAATGACACATGGCCTGGATTCTGTGTGTGTATGTGTGTTAATGATCTACACACACTCTCACATCAAGGCAGCAGTTGGAAGTTTCCAGAACAGAATTTGAGTCTTAACTTGGGAACCAATGCATCTGCATATCACACCTGTAATTTGCTGGCATCTCAGCTTATTATGCAGGTGTATGAAATTTGCTTAGTCTACTTTTGAATGTGTGCTACCTCACACCAAAGTTACCATCTGCAAAAACATTGCAACAATTAAGTTTAGTTAATAAGATCAAGGAAAGCTTATATTCAGTAGAAATCCCTTTGCTAGTCTTGATGGCATGCACATAGGTTCCATATTAGGGGCCCTCACTTCTTCCCTACACCTGTGGAATTCTCACATGAAGATGAAGCACACCTAGGCTAAAATCACTAAAGCTTCCCAGAGTAGGAGCACTGATCTGAGATATTTATTTGATAAACCTTCTGATATGAACATAAGCAATGTAATTCTACAGGAAGATTCACTCGAAAGAGGCCCTGAATATTCTGTAATACCTCTAGGACAAAGCAATCTGAGCGAAACAACGTGTGATGTGCTCCTCAGTATATGGAGCTTTGAACAAGCTGGGATGCCCCTGCTTTGGAGTGATAAGGTAGGAGCCAGATAGCCGTTGCAGCGTTTAACCTCTGTTTGCAACGTCCGGGTGCATACCCCCGTACTCCTTCACGTGTCTGGCAGAAAACAGAGATCACATCTGACTGCATGTTAGCTCACCTTTAGTTGTTCAGTGCACATTTAAGATTGGCAAGAAGTACAGTAATGATTAACCTTAGTTGATAAGGTCATGAAAGCTTATATTCAGTTGAAAACACTTTGCTAGTCATGATGGTGTTCAAATAGGTTCCACATTAAGTGACACTTTCCCCAAACCAGTGGGGCTTGGGAGTCCAAATCTCTTATTTTAGGAAGAAATGTGCCTAAAGGGACTCAAATTCTGTCACATACAGATTTAGATTGCACATTAACTCACCTTGATCTCAGGAATGGTGATCCTGTTGTCTGGGTTCTTGTCCAGCATTCTCAGGATTAGGTTCCTCAGGCCTTCACTGACAGTCGGCCTGAAGGAAATAAAATTGAATAAGGTCATGAAATCAGTGTTATCTAAAAGCAGTAGTTTTAATAGACTTTTATCTCGCAATCCAGGTCGATAAAATTGACTTTGATCTCATAAATGAAGTCTTTTACCTGAATGATCAAATAAGACTTTGATCATTACAATGATCCAGCTTTATCCTGGATTTATTCATCTCTTCACCCAGTCACAGAAATGATTCTCTATTCTCCACAAAACCTATTTAGGGCCTTGGGACTGAAATACAACTATGACAACCCGTTGTTACAGGAAATCCCAAATGCGGTCACAAAAAACACGAAGTCCCTGAGTAGACAACAAACTGGCAGAGCTATCATTACGTCCGCTGTCAGACAGTCATTTTGTAAAAGCTTCGAAGCAGACAGATGGAATTTAACAGAGAGTGGTAGAGAAGCTGGGTGGCAATCAAATCAAAGGCAGCACAACTCAAAGCATCTTTTGTGCTCTAATCCTCTAAAAGTAACCAATGCTGAAAGAGACAGTGACAGCAATGTGGGATTCAAAAGATGACAGTGTACTGCACAACAACCGCACAACAGAATAGTTACATTACCAGAAAATACATAGTGAGACATGGGGATAGTTCATATATTTGATTAAAAAACGTAAGCAATGAGTGCAGCAAAGTGGGCGATCCAAAAAAGACGGTCCAATATACTCAAATGTGCTAATGAGAGGATTATGGCGCTGCTTACAGCTAGAGAACATGCCTGCACGAACGCAGCCCAGGCCTACTCATTCAAAATGTTTGGACTGTGCAGCAGGTTGTTAGCTAAAATAGCTTTATTTGGATAGTCCACGTTAGATGCTTTGTATAAACTTAATTTACTTTCAAGTTACATTCAACTATATATCTACTAAATTGACCAGAATGTCTTTAAACCTGGCTCTAATCCTAACCCTAACCTTAACCTCAACCCAAAACCTAAACCCAACCTTCACACTGGTCCTAGCCCTAACCCTGGTCCAAATCTTAACCCTAACCCCACCGCTGTTTAGAATCGACTGAGTTTCAACAGATAGTTTATTAACAATTTGAGCATCTGTAGATAATCTATAGGGGACCAAATAACGTGAGACCAAAATATACAAGTGTGGGTATTTACAATCACAACGGTGTCAAATTTATATTCCACATCTATCTAACAAACTGTGAAATGTGGTGTCTACAGTTGTTCTAGCAGCAGGTATCACAGCAGTAGCTTAGCATGCTACAGCTTTACTAGCTTTACAGCCGAGCACAGGCTCATTCTGGCTCACTGAAGCTTCGCTGACGCAAATTCTGAGGATAACAACTCAAATTTGAGGGAGTAAACCTGGTTATTTGTGTGAGGAGTTGTTAGCTTAGCTACCCCGCTGAAAAAACAGCTCAGACGAGCATGCATTCCATACTTGTCTATGCTGATTAATGCTAGTCTATTGCTGATCTGGTGCTTGTTTAGCTAGTCACTCAGCATGGACTATGCTGGTTTTTCTAGCAGGGACCTTTGCTTCAGGAACCTCGTTAGCACTAGAATCTAGTGTTAGCTTAGCGAGAAGGCTTAAGCAGCTTTACACACACACACATGCTGGTCCATTCTGGCTCACTGAAGCCTTACTGACGCAAATGTAGAGAATAAAGATTCAAATCTGAGTGGTAGTGTGTGTGAAATTGTTAGCTTAAGCTACTTTTAATGCATTACTGTTAGCACCAGAGGCTAACGTTAGCAGGAGCATTAGCAATTCTGGCTCACTACTGCTGCACTTAGCCAAGTTTAGACTCAAATCTGAGCTAGTGAAATCGACTGACCAGTGCTGGTGTGACAGAAAGACCAAATCTTTCTAAATATTGAAGCTCTGGCTCGTCTCAATCAGTAACAATTCAGAAAAGTTCTAGAGAGAAGCTCCTCCGTGTCTAAAACAGGTTGAAATAAGGCTAATGTAGCTAACAAGCTACGGAGGCATAAAGCCAGGGAAGGATCATGGTCTTGCGAGGCCTCTGGGCACAAGAGTATTTGGAAGCAACCCCCCACTACAACACACACACACACACACACACACACACACACACACACACACACACACATTTTCTCAGCTGCTTATCCTTCTGGGTCGCAGGGCCCACCACAACAGCAAGACGAATAAAAATAAATGATGTAAAATACAGTTAAATAAAATAATGATAATAAACTCCTGTGAGATAAGATTAAACATTTTTCTCTAATTGTTTTATTTTTTTTTTGTCTTGAATATAAACAAAATCAGCCTTACTAATGTGTGAACTCCTATTGTGTCTACATCGTAACAGCCTTCTTTCAGGCCAAACCGACCACTAACACCACATCCCATTTTTCATTTATTTCATTCATGTAGTTGTTTGTATATGTGTTCTAACTGATCAATTTATGTTTACATCTGCAGTGAATTTGTGCCATCTTGAGCCAAAGGCCCCGAGGCAATGGCCTGTGGTCTATCCCCACATAAAACCACCTTTGAACATCATGCAAACTGTATCTCTAAATCATCAGCCTTAAAGCTTGTCAAGATGAAGAGGAATCCTAAAAAATCTTCATCAAATGATTAAGATGCAAACAAAGTCATTCAGAGTTGTTCGATGCAAAACGCTCCATTCCAGAGAAACTTAGTCATAACTCTTCACAGCAGTGGTGATAGGAATCAGACATCCTAAGTGTTTAAGGTCTCTAAAAGCTCACTTAGAAGAAGTTATAACAAGAAATGGTTATGAATTTGCTGCCTGATGCCTGAGACACTGTTTTGACATTGTTTTGCATTAAAAACGCATTTTTAAAAATCCATTCACGGCAGAGTGACGGGTACGTATGTGCAGGGTGAGGTAAGGCATTTCCCAATATGAACATATTACATATAACAACTCAGAGGATGCGTGAAGATTCACTGCCTGTTTTGGAGTCTAGTCTTTTGGATAGTTGGATAGGATAGTTTACAACCTTATCTCTGGTTCCTATCTCTTATCATCATATTCATGTTATTTGTAACACCTGCCTATGTGGTTTCTGACACTGTATCATATATAGTTATCTATAAAAATGGACAAATGGACAGTATACAATATAGTTTAACTCATGTACATAATTAAAAGCACGAGAGTGTGACGGAGTGGAATGCAGACTCATAGCTGCATGTGGGTTGAGATCAGCATACAGTGCATGTGTGTATGTATGTGTGTGTGACCGCGAGCATGTGTGGGTGTGAGAGGCTCTCAAGAAAACGCTTTCATTAGCTGATGACAACCTGTCCAACCACACACTCCAGCTGCCAATCTCCCCGATATGCCTCCCGACTCTCAGAAACACATGCGTGCTGCTAAGCCAACACGTGCACACACAGACACAGATGCACGCAGTCACACACACACACTCTAAAGAGCTGAAAAGGCCTAACAGACTAACAGAGACGTTTTATTGACATTTTATCTCCATATTCAGAGAGCTGAGGAACTTCAAAGAGCGCAAGGTTGAGGATGCTGCAGGCAAAGCCATTCTCTCTCTCTGCCAGGCTCTTCTCTGAGCTTCTCTGCCTTCGCTGACACTTTTCCAAGGACAAATCCTTTCGTGATTTATTCATATCTTTCCAACGTACCTCCCTAAGGCAAAATTAACAATCCAGTCAATTTAAAGCGACAGTTCAGTGAAAAATCTAATTCTCACAATTTCCCTCTCAGTCAAAAGGCAGTCGATCAGCCTAGACATTTGGTGCAGTGGCGTAGGCAGCATGTGGGTAGGCCAGTTTGGTAGATTCCAAATGCGCTTATGTCCTGCAATGACATTATATCAGGCTATAGTCTATTCCCGACAGTCATGCAGTCCTCACCCTCTCTCTTCCAACACGTCCTCCCTATGATAACATCACATAAACACAACCAACCAATAACCAACCCCCTTTATTAGAAAGACTATTAAATATGCTGCTCACCACAGGCACGTTTGCCCAATGAAGAAGATATAACTAAGTTACAGACAGCTGAGATATGCAAAGACAAGGAAAATCACCAACAACAAACTTAAAACCTAATCATCAAAGGCATAAACAGTCTTTGTCTTAACATGGAATGTTAAGATTTAAGCCACTACAGTGGGCATGAAAAATATTTCTGGTCCATTCATGTCTTACCTTTGATTCAATCAAGTAATGTTAGATGTTTGCTTTGACATTTTCGCAAAGCACATGTCAAGCTTTGTAGTAAAACTGATGATGTCGAAAAACAGAAGATGACTACGGTTTTTGGCTTTAGATGGGTATACATTCTCTATGGGGTGAAATTTCACTTCTAAACATCCCCAGGTACATCTTTTAAAAGGAACCCTGACTGTTAAGACATGAAAACCTCAAAATGATGTACATGTTCAATACTGTTAAAATACATTGTTTAGACCAAACAAACTATTTTATTTGTTATTAAAAATTGACAAAATCCCTACACTAGTGGGTTGCCAGTTTTGTTGCGGCTTCAAATGGTTGCTCACTGTCTTGTCCATTAAGTGATGAAAAATGAGCTGAATATCTCATTTAATTTAAATATATTCTTCAGCCTGTCTAGATTTAGGTAGATCACGACATTACCCAAAAAAAGTTTTTTGTAATGTCTTATTTTCTGTAGGGTTGAGTCCAGTGCAACTACATGACATCATCTCTGTATCACAATGGAGGCCTAGAGGGATTTGTCATGGTTTTATAATATAATAAAATATTTCAACTTGCTTTATATATCATGTTTCAATAGTATTGAACATGCACATTATTTCAAGGCGTACAAGTCTGAACAGTCACGGTTACCTTTACTGGTGCTCTGACAACAAACCGAATACTTGAGGCATTGGCAGATAGCTATGCTTACTGCGCAAAGGCTGGAGGGTTGAGAAAATAAGGCAGGAGAGCGTAATGATTTGATTTGCTATAATACAATGACAGCACTCACAGAAAACAAATCAAATTACATTGTCTTTAAAATTCTGGCTTGAAAAGTATTTTTCCCCCATTTGACGGGGAAGGCATGTAATTAATCTAGGCGGGCCTGGCCTACCCAGGCCTACCCATCTGTGTGAAACTGCTACAAGGTAAAGCATGCTAATATGTCTGTCACAAGCATCAGCTAAGACATGGAGTGTCTTTTAGAAGCTTATAATGTCTGTGTTTAACCTAGAACTGGGACTTGCCGAAGTTTTTTTCTTGTTTTTTGACCAAATTAGGCCTGGATGTTAACATATTTAAATCACTGATGTTGATTGCAAGTGATAATCAACAGCCTGTGCAAGAATATTAGCTTAATGATTCACACTATGTTGGATTTATGATTATTCCAAACAAAATCACATAAATATTGACTTGAGTGAGATAAAAATTCAATTACATTTCACAGGTGACACCCTCGTAACACCCAACTGCAGCATTTGCAATTTGCAATTGTAGCAGCCAACTGAAGAGGGCCTTATCATGTCAGTTGCTGTGCCAGATCAGGGTAAACACAGCCAGAGGCTTGGAGTGGTTTGCATTCGCTCGTTGTACATGTTCCTGTCTCTCTGATGGATCACACACAGGTGGAGATGAAAAGAGGAACTCACGTCTCGGGGAACTCCACCGGCTTGCTCCTGATCTTGTTGTGCAGAGCCAGTATGTACTCATCAATAAAAGGGCACTGGAGAGAGAGCGAGCGAGCGAGAGAGAGAGAGAGAGAGAGAGAGAGAGAGAGACAGAGTGAAAGAGACAGAGTGAAAGAGAGAGAGAGAGAGAGAGAGAGAGAGAGAGAGAGAGAGAGAGAGATAATAACACATGGGCTTTCCTACACATCCACTCCACACTGCTAATTTCTATTCATCATCAGAAAAACGGCAAAACCAGCAGGTGCCCATCCTCCTCTATAGTCTTACCTTTCCAAATACAAAGCAGTAGAGCGTCACCCCCATTGCCCACACATCAAGAGCCTGAAACACAAGAAAGTCACAGCCATTACACACAGGGTAATTACACTATGTAAGATTTTTTTTGTTTAAACTGAAAGAAGTAGCATTACTGCCTGAAGAGGAAAAATAACATGCTAAAATATATAGCGCCCATGTGCTGCTGCAAGTCGTCTTGTAAAGCCTGAAATAGTATTTCTGAAGTAGTTTTTTCTCAAAGAAAATCCAGCTCATTGTTTAGGTCTTCAATGCTAAATCAGCATTATACTGATAAAAATATGATGATCATTCACTCACATCCTCAAAAGACACGTCCTTCACCAAATTCTGACCGAGTTCTCTTTGGTCTTGTTTAGACTGCCAGCCCAAATCTGATCTTTGGCATAGCCAGACTGTATCCAGTTTGATTTTTGGTAGTCTGGACAGCAAAAACCCACATAAAATCCATCTTGGATCCAAACCACATTTGGAGATGGTCTGAACTGCAATTCCAATCAGATTTTTACAGATGTGTCTCAGCCTGGGCTAGTGTCTTTTGCATCACTTGCAATGCGACAAACAACAACATCAAATCCAAAGTGATGGAAGTGCTTGGATTCAAGAAGAGTGCCAAAGACTTCATCACATCATCAGCATAGCTACGTAGTTACTGGTGCCTACGTTGTTACCACAGCAACCCATGCAAATAGGTTGGTGATATCTGGACATGTATCCGATCCATCACTTGAAAATAACAGTGTGGACAGTCGTCTCAAACGATCTGATTTGAGAAACAAATCTGATTTTCCTGCAGTTTGCACACAGCCTTTGAATACTCTTTCAACACAATCACAATAATCAGGTTCATCTGTTTGGGGGGAGGGGTCCAAAGGAAAACCGCTGTTACAAAATATTTTCCACATATTGCATGCAATTCCATATTTCCACCAGAGAGGGCAAATCTCCAAATTTTACATAGTGTAGCTTTAAGTTGGCCAGGCTGAAGCAAAACAGTGAAACATACTTATAGTCATATGCAAAAGTTTGAATATTTTGTTGATTTTCCAACTGAAAACAATACTTTCTCTACAGGGAACAAACTTAAATTTGACAATTACCTGCAAACTGTAGTGCACAGTTTCTACTGATTTGATGAGTTTAACATACAGGAAAAAAGGTGCCATAACCTTTGCACTGACCACATTTTCCCCAATATGTTGCATTCAGCAAATGAACTGTAACTGTGTACTAAAATGAGTAGAAATGTGTTCTAGAACCTTTTCACTTAAAAAAATCAGCAAAACATGATGTATGTTTACAAAACACTGCACTTTAGACCATTCACTGTGCAACCCTGCGCTCATCAGTAACTAAAGTTGTAATGTAGAGTGTAATGTAGCCTGTATCTTTGGGCTAAACAATAATAGGGCTGCAAAGTTTTATCAACAAGGTTGACTTGTCATTGACATCATCATCTATAGAAAATGTAAGGATGAACAATAATAGGCAGGTAAGTGTTTAAAGAAACTCTGCTTCGATCAGATTCTGTTTGGAAACAATTAGATTTAAGCCACTATCTGGTGAGGTACTTATTTTACTCTGGGAGAGAAAAACACCTGATGCTTGGCAAACGTGCTAAAATATTTTATTTACTTTACTGCACCCTTTACTCTTTACAAAGTTATTCAACTTGGTTGAGGTCAGGACTCTGTGCAGGCCACTAGAGTTCCTCCACACAAAACACCTTAAACCATGTCTTTATGGATCTCACTTTGTGCACAGCAGCACAGTCATGCAGAACAAGAAAGGGATTTCCACAAAACTGTTAAGTTGTAAGCATATAACTGTCTAAAATTTGTCTTCTGCAGCATTAGCATTACCCTTCACTGGAACTAAGTGGCCCATTCTGGTAAGTAGTGCCCTCCTGGCATTCGCCAAAGCTAAATTCGTCTATCGGACTGTCAGATAGTGATGCGTGCTTTACACCACTCAAGCTAACGCTTGGCATCGCGCATAGTGATCTTAGGCTTTTATACAGCTGCTCAACCCTGGAAACTCATTTCATTAAACTATGAAATGCAGTTCCAGAGGTAGTTTTGAACTCTGTAGAAAGTAATGCAACAGAAGATTACTGTTACACGCTATGTGCTTCAGCACTTCACAGCCCTGCTCAGTATGACTTATTCTACTGCCAAAGTTTGTCTATGGAGATTACATGGCTGCATGCTTGATTTTATACAGAATTACGTGATGTATGTATATGAAAAATACCAAATTTTGATGCATCCCTAGAAAAAAGCTGACACGAAAGCTCCCTATAATGCTCTATATATATCATATGATACATGTGGTTATTCTGAGAGATTGCAGTACACTACAGGAACGGCAGGGTTAGGGGGCGACTGTTGTTGCACGGCTATACTGATTAACACAGGAGTGTACTCAAGCGGCACAATGCGGTTCAGAAGCTACACAGTTACCTCTTCTGGTTTCCAGTCAGCCTCGCTTTGCATAACTGTGCTCTCATGGGGAAAAATGGAAATATGCGGTTATGGTGGTGACTTGTTTGGCACGCTACTTCTCCAGTGCTGCAGCGCTGAGGTAATGACTGCAGCCCTAATCTCTTGCTCTCCCTGCTCGCTGGCACTTTAAAACTTCCTCAGACACTGCCAGCCCATCAGAAAGGCCGTCTGGAGTGCATGGCAGGTTCTGGACACTGTGGTCCTCTAAACACAAGGGCCTGTCTGAATCAGTGACTGTCTGGCCGAGTCTCTGGGGTGACAGCAGACCTAAATCAATCCGGCTGGTGACACGTGCCTGCAGTGTAACAGCGCACAATACAGAGTGTGTGTGTGTGTGTGTTTGTTATGTTGAAGAGAAATAAATAAAAAAAAAATGACTGTGTTAGCCGCCTACTTATTCACATCACAGATCACATATTTGCTGTGATTTACTGTCGGCACTGGACACACACACACGCACACACACACACACACACACACTGCAGCTCATTACTGGTTCAACGCACAATGTCACGAGCTGATAAGCAGTCTAAAGCACAGGTCATCGGACCTAATACAGTCGCCATGCTGTCGTTACTGACTGTGCTGGAGCTTCATATAAACACTGGCCACTATTTAAAAACAGGCAGTGGTCAGTATGTCAAAATAAAGAGAGCCTGAAGGGAATAAAGAGCCCATAGAAAATCTAAATTTCCTCAAGTTTTGATGTAACAGTGTTTGATGTAATATGTAAACAAATGTAATTTAGTATGTAAACCAAAACTCATTTACATACAAACTGGGGGGGGAGGGTACCATTCACAATAAGGCTATCCTTATAAATGGTTTAGGAATGGTTTAAAATTAGTTTATTAATTAGGTCCTGAAAACTTTAAAACATCAGTTATAACACATAAATGAAAAGCCAACAGTGACCTGTTATATTTGATGAAGCTGACAAGGTTAATGTTGAGAAGACAAAGTTAGATAAGTAACCAGCAAGATCTGAGGTTTAACAGTATGGTGATGAATGTAGGCTCATTATTTGGCAAGCAACTATTGACAAGCACTGTTTCCCTTTTTATTTAAGTGTTATACCCGGTTATTATTATTATTATTTTTAAGGTGTATATGATTTAAGGTGCGCATATATATACACACACGCACACACATACATATGTATGTGTGTGCGTGTGTGTGTGTCAGAGCTGCTAAAAACACATTTTGGACTTTTAACTGATCTGAACTTTAGACTAAAAGACCCAAATTTTGTATTGCTTATGGTTGTTAATATTTTCAACTGTAGGGAGATGAACGCAACACTTTCACATCTTTTCATTTTGAATCTTTATGAATGTTTACATCTTTTATGTCACGTCTTTATTTTATTTATGGAAAGCTGTATCAATAATAGTAACGATAAGTATCGGTATTGTTATTGGTATCGAAAAAACCCTAACGATCCCCATCTCTAATCAGCAAAAAATCCATCAGTGTACAGATAACACTCTTCAGCCAAAGACTGCAAGGATTTTAGGCCTTTCACCCTCTACAGTGCATAATATCATTAAAAGATTCAGGGAATCTGGAGAAATCTCTGTGAGTACAAGGCAAGGCCCAAAACCTCTGGGCCAAATAAGCGAAGGACCATCCCGACTGTTACCAGCATAAAGTTCCAAAGCCAGCATCTGTTATAGTTCGAGAAGGCATCATTGGGTAACACTGAAAGATATCTACACATTTTGCAGCTACATATGCTGCCTTTTAGGTGTCAGCTTTTTCAGGGACATCCATGCCTTTTTGACCAGATACCATGGCTGCATAATCAGAGAGTGCAGGTGACCCATAGGGTTGGAAAAAAAAAATTCCACCTTGGTTCGGCTTGAGTCTTCAGTCCCCGTATGTTTATTAAGTACTGGCAAAAAGAACAGTGATGTAACATGCTCCATTCCCAAATTTTTAGAGGATTATATTTGATATACAAAAAACAAACCAAAAAGAAACAAACAAAAAAAATGTAAAACAAAATATTGTGTTTTCAATCTAATACTAATCTCTGCTTTCTGTTTCTGTTTTCAGAAACTGTCCCAACTTTTTGGAAATGGGTTTATATAACCTCCTACACTCTACTTCTATTTAAAAATGTGACATTTAGAAAATAGTTTGGAAAATAGTTACTTTATAGACATGTTTTTAAAGTACAATATCATGAGAATCGAATCAAACGTTAAAAGGGTAGGTGATTACTGTGATATGAATTTTTATACTTTAAGTGGAAAAATAGAATAGAAAAATGTACACACACACACACACACACACACACACACACACAATGCAGTGTTTACCTTTCCACTGAAGCTCTTGCGGTTGTCAGAAAGGGTCTCTGGGGCCATGAAAGCAGGAGTCCCAGCCGTGCTGGAGAGCAAGGCATCATTCCCCTCAAACTGGTTACTAACACCAAAATCAGCAATCTTCACATGGCCATCGTCTCCCAGCAACAGATTAGACGGCTTGATGTCCCTGTGGACGATCTTCTGATAGTGCACTAAGGAGACGGAGGAAAGGCAAATCAAAACAATACTTATTTTTGCAATTTTTTCAAATGTTTTTAAAATCTTTAGCACGGTAATGTAATTACAATTATTAAGAAAATCACAATAGAAAAGTTACACAAGGGCTATAAAATAATACTCTTAAAAAAAACAGGCACTGCCAAAGCATACTGCCTCTTGAAGTTCGTGAGGGCCACTTAAGTGGTCAAGAGAGGTCACCATGGCCAACTGACACAAGTACACAAAAGCTGATTGGAGGAGTGGTGCCTTCCTGTCTCAAGTGGTCAATCAAAGCTAAACTGGTGCCAGTGCCCTTCAGGAAATTGTCATTTGTTTTGTTCTGTGATTAAGCTAGTGCAAACAACTCAGACATGCTTAATGGGATCTTGTGTGTTAATGGATACAAAAAGGATTAAGGGTGCTACAGATGATCTTACAAATCAAAGGCAACCCTACATTCAGACATTTCAGTAAGCAAAGGAAAAGATACAGCCCGGGCAATATCTACTTATACTTTCTGGTAAAAGAAGCAATTATCGATTATATCCCCCCAAAACAATACACACTGTCCAGTGCAGCTTTGTCCCACTTTTTCTTCTATTTTTAGTTTATATTTTTTTTTATACATTAACTGATTTAGTGCAAATATTTCTTATAGCACATATTAAATAACAGTAAGTAGCCCAGCATTTTTGAAAATTACTTCACCCGTCATTGTAACAGCGGGTAAACGTGTGTTTATGAGCTCCTTCTGGTGCAGATTCATGCTGACCTGGGTTTGCAAGCAATTTCCAAAGCCACACAAAAAAAAAAAACTTCTGCCAGTATAGCAGTCACTCAGGAATTCAGCTATTACACACATTAGACATTATGTGTACATATTATTTAATATTATCTGTTACCTTTTTTGATCGTGTTTCCTGGCCATAGGCAGGGATTAGAGGAACTTTCTCTTCTAAATTAGCCAGGGCTAGAGTTGCTGCTCTGTGGTAACAGCAGCTTGGTTGTTTTTGCTGCAGTGAGTAACACTGAAGCGAGAAAGTCTGAATGCACATCAGCATTTATTTTACTGGTACACAAGCTAAACTTAACGTATAGTAAAACAAGTAGAAGGTGATGAGCTGTAGGGTAAGTAAAGCTACAGTTCTTAGAGAAACATGAGCTCCAATCTCCCAACATGTTTAGCAAGCTGTTTAACAGTGAATTAATCCTCTCTAGTTCTCTGTCAGTTTCCCAACACAGCGGTTATTGCATTTTAAGCATTGTCATCAGGTTACTTGTCCATCATCAATATCTGATTACATCGTCCTATCACCCAGGCCTACTTCGTACGCTGCTTTCTTAGTCGAGACCAATACAGTACTGTGCAAAGAGCAGAGCCCACCTTTCATTTATTTAAATTCTAGTGAAAATGGAGTTACCCATGTTTCGGAAGATATTTCTGAGACTATATATAAAACAATCCACTAGCACAAGGAAAGGGAAAGTCAAGCTAAGAAGTTGAGCTAACAAATAATTAAAAGATGCAGTCATGGGGGTGTCCAGGACTCCCTAATTAACCTCTTGGACCCCCTTTATATCTTAGAATCACTTATGTTATGCTGTCAATTAGGGAAAAATAGATGCTTCAATACAAATTCAGGGAAAGGTTATGGTTTAGCTGCTTCTGCCACAATTGCAGAGCTTCTGTCTTTGGTATTCTTTACTGCACTGCTCTGCTTCAGGTTGACGGTGTAGCAAACTGGTTCACCCAGGTACTTTGCACACTGGGTACAGTTGTATGCAAAAGTTTGGGTTCGGGTACAAGCGGATCAGACAGCAGACTGTGTCTACTTACTGTCCACTTTTTTTCACACCCCTACCTTGCGGTCCATTTTGTAGATGTAAAATCAGAAACAGTAGCTCATCATTTGCTGTGATGCTGATAAAATGGACAATAAGTGTAGATACTAGGAGGTGTACTTAATGAAGTGGACAGTTGGTGTATGTAATAAGAGTAGTTCATAACCAAAAAGAAATGGTTTTGCCCTTTCAGTGTAAAAAACAAACATGGCGCTTCTATTAAAAAATAAGTGGAAGTAGAAAAAAATTCAAATAACTCCCCACAAAAACATCAGTTGGATTCAGGGAAAAAATGCATTGTACAATAGGAGAAATAATGAGTATGGGATTTATTGCCCCACCCACCACCACTACCACCCACCCCACAGCATTTATTCTACCACCTTGTGGGATCTGATCCACACAGACACACAAAAGCACACAGATTAAGAAAAGCAAACATAAAACATAAAAATAACAAAAGTCAATCCGGGCAGTTCCACCCCAGCGCGGTCATCACAGGTCATCCCTAATGCGGAGTGTTGAATAGCACTATTGATTTACTAAACATTCCCCATATTCCCTGGGGCGCCTCACACAGAGCTAATGAAAAACGAGAGCTAGGTCCATCAAAGGCAAGTCCCTCCAACCTGCTCTAAAAACAGACATGAGCAAACGCACGTAGAGAGATCGGACGTGGGACAGATCATGACCTGTAATAGATATTGATCTATTTGCATAACGTGCAAAGCAATACGAGAGTAAATCTGTATTGATAAGCGCCAAGGGGCCTGTATCAACACAGCACGCTCGATGGTCAGTGACTATACAGTTTTGAACCAACTGTCCACAAAATCAGAGACAGATGGCAGACATAAGTAGCTGCTCTCAGAGCAGACAGAGCTTGGCACAATCAGGGCCCGAACGCAACAGACATAACAAATGCCCCATAGAGGAAATGGACGGGCATAGCTCAGTAATTGAATCAAACAGACAGCCTGTGGTCATCTCTGCGAGAGCTGTCTGGTCATCATGGTCCAGGCATGCTGAGGACAGATGAGGTGGTTCATGCTAATGACCGAGCGGAGGCCTAGCACATCAAGCCCTGGAGTGAAGATGACCCCTCCACTGTAGACGATTCCAGACCACAGGTGTTACTCCTTCAGCAGTCTCTGTTTAAGACGCTCCGTCCACAGAGCTACACAGAGGGTTTGATTACTATTGTCTGCTAAGGTGGCCCTAACTATCAAAATTTCATCAGTTAGACTCTTATTGGCCACTGCACTGCTTTCTTGTTAGTAGTCCAACAGGAAACAAACCTTTTCAAGCAGTTGCTTCATTGTTTTGAAGTAAATGTGTCCCAAAGTCTGAAGTGAAGTAAACTTTTTTGTGTTTTAATGAAAAACATTTTTATGATTTTATGTCTGTACAACTGTTCAAAGCTGTGTTTGCTAGTCATGTACTGGCTAGTGTTTTTTAAGCTCTGTTCAACATGAGGTAAAACTGTCACTACTGAAACATTTGGTAAAGTTTGGTAAATTTGCCACACCTGCTCCAGCTAATCAACCTGTTTCCAAGACTCTGATTGGCTGGATCAGATGGGTTAGAGTTAAGTAAGGGACGGGGCAGCTTATTGGATACAGGCTGGAAGTAAACTCCGCAGGAAGGTAGCTCTCCCACTGGTATAGGATCATTCAAAGCAAAAGCAACCTTTTATTGGAATACCTATATATGTAAAAGCCTGAGTAGCCTGACCACTGCTAGCATTGTCTTCTACAATTTTCATTACAAATTACATTACGTGCATAACAATTTGCATGAAAATTAGAATCCTTGAAATTCGAACATTAATTCCAAAATTTTAGTATTTGGTATTTGCCTCTTTTGCCTAAAAGACCGCATGCACTCCAGCTGACTCCACAAGTTTGTGCAAAAGCCTCTGATTAGTAGGTTAAATCCACCTGAGAGTCATCTGAACACAAGCTTTAATGGAGGGGACAAAACAAAATATGCTTCAATTTGAACAGTGACCTAGAAATCTAAGGAATCTATACTTCCTCTTCATTTCATAACTTTTATTAGTTTCCATTTTTCGCTGTTGACTGTTTATTTCCTGTTTAAAGGAAAAAAATTGAATTTTTTAATGTAGTTTCAGACTTCTGGATTCCACCAATGTGTGTATATGGATCATTGACGTGAAGTGCATATTTTTGTGTCCATAATTTTCCCACAAATAATTTAATAAATACTTAACATATATCTAATTATTAAACAATACCTCTTCTATGTGAAACAATTTTCAGTGAATACATATAAAACTCATTTTAGTTTTTTTTGCCCTCAAAAACTCTAAAAATGGCAGGTGGTGCAACCACCTGTATGCCGATTAGGGAAACTATCAAAAAATTATCTAAAATTCAAAAAATTATCAAAAAATTATATAAAATTCTAAATAAAATAGTTTGGCATGATTTTATGTTTTAAAACTTTAAAATAAAATAAGGCAACTTTAAAAATTGCTCAACTCACTGAAAAACTTTTGGCTGCAAGTTTTTACTTACTTACTTAAGAGGGGCCAGGATACTGCATCATAAAGAAGACCCTAAGTGACCTTCATGGTGCAATGCCAAGGTCAGTAGTAGTATAATCACGTTATAAATACACACCTAACATATAATACATAAAAAAAATCAATATGAAAACATCTGGCTAGTTTTCCTTACTGTCACACTGATTTGTGCTTTCCTTCCCCATTTTACCAAGAACACCTCAAATGCACATGATCAAAATTAAAAAAAAGTGATTTTTAATATTTATCATTCATGTTTTATCGCAGATGACTGAAGAACAAGACGTCATTCAGCACTCAGTACACACACACAAATGCCCTTCACACATACTAAAATTCCCCTGACCGCTTTCCCCACTAGACTAATCGGACACTAGGATGTGCTAAAACAACAAAGCAACAAACATGGAGACGCTTCTCGAGTTACAGTTCCCCGAGGCGCTCGCTTTTACATAAGTGACAATGACTAACCGTAACCACGGAAATGCAGGAGGGACGCTAGCAAGCGTGCGAGCTAGCTCACCCCTCCGGGGACCGGTAACTTTCGAGGCTTTTTTTTTAAAAACATAGCACTTCATCAAGCCAGTCGTCTGAGTTTCCTCCAGCACATAATACATTTCTCATGAGGACGGCCAAATTTCCTGCTTTAAATGAATTTGTGGATTCCATGTTTCAAACAGTCTCACGCTCCACAGAAATATAGGCCTCTGAAATCTCCACTCTACCTGGCAAACTGTACCAAACCTTATTGGAATCTTTTTTAATTGGCTGCAGGGTCACTCAGACACCCGCCTGTAGGAACTCAGCAATGTTTCATTACTAAAAAATGACTACAAATTGCTTTGAATGTGTATTAAGGGGTGGGAGTCTCAAAACTCCCAAGATGTGATTAAAACAATGAATGTAGCTTACACAGCACACTTACTACATCGAAAGTCTTTTGGCATGTGTTTAAACCAAAACCTAAAAAAATAATACAAAACTGCCCTAAATTTATAAAAAATTATATAAAAATTATACAAAAAGGTTTTATAAAAGTCCTATAAAAATCTATAAAAAGGTTGTGTGGTATTCGACTTTTTTTATATCTCCCATCCATCTTTTTGCCATCTTGTTCGGAGAGAGAGGAGCTGGTTAGCATTAGCCTAGCTAGCATGATAACATCTGCTCTCCACAGAACATGTCTGATTCTGGCTAACTACAGCAAAGGCACAAGGTTAGATGATAGTGACTGAAATATGAGGACGTGAAGTCGAGCACTTGGTGCTGAATGGACAGAATTGCAAAATTAAACCTGTTCTGTGGTGTTTGGATGTGTAGCCTGATCGTCTAACTAAAGCTAGCTTAGAGAACACACTACAGACCCAAACACTGCCATACACCACACTAACTGATGTAACTTTGTAGAAACAAGTGTAGACAATCGAGTGAAGTGTGTTGGAGTGACAGAAAGCTGAAATCGAACCTGTTCTGTGATGTTTGGGAGTGTAGCATTTTGGCTAAGCCAAACATGCCACACAGCACAGGCTTGGTTCTGACTAACTGCTGCTCTGCTGGAACAAGCGTAGAGGATAAAAACTAATGTCTGAGAGAGTGAAAGTCGAGTCACTGCAGCTGGAGTGACTGAAATCATACCTGTTCTGTGAAGTTTGGAACTTTCCCAGATGAAAGAAATATTTTAAATGAGATCTCCTCTAAAGCTCATGTACTTCTCATGGAGTGAGACTTAAGCCATTTTCTCCTATTTCTGAATTTTGGCTCCTGAGAAATAATCCTCAGATTTTCTCATTTTGATCAAAATATTGTTACAGATGTGGATGAACTCTTCTGTGTCTGACTCATCTCACCCCAGTCTTACAGAATAATATTTCCATAAGAAAAGTGTAAGATCTCATCCATTTCATCGATCTCACGCTTTTCTCATTCATCACCAGAACTTCTTTCAATGGAATGCTGATGTTAATCTCCTCTTTTCTCCTAAGAATTCAGAAATGAGTGATCCTTCATTAAAATAATATGGAGATCTGCTTTATTTCTTTGACACAACCTTAAGAAAGACCTTTTTTCTGGGTTAGCCTTTTTGGCTAAGGTACTGAACGTTTAGTTAGCAGGCCAAACGTGCTTTTAGAGTTAAAGCTGGAATCGAACATGTTCTATGGTATGTGTAGCTCTTAGCTGTCGCTGAACCGCTATCATGCTTAGTTTTTCTGAGGTTTTTCCTTCCTCTGATTTTTCCTCTCTTTCAAGTAGCGCCACCTATCGGTCGGATTTACATAAAGTTTACTTAATTCCATCATTTATGTTGGAATAGGCACTCCCAAACTTTTATGCTGCTGCACTGACATTGAACCCTATGCTTGCACTGGGTAGGTGTGTCCAACATGTCAAAACAAGCTCAAAACAAAGTGTGCGCTGTACTCTGATTGGTGTTCTTGCTTCACGTTTCTTTCGTTTTGACATTACGTTTTTATGCACACATTAGCCAAAAGGAACGACAGATTTTGCATAATGTAGTGGAGTAAAAAGTAAGATATTCGAGTGAAAGTAAAAAGACGCCCAAAATGGAAATACTTCAGTAAATATACACAAAAAACTACTTAAGTACAGTAACGAATTACATTTACTTAGTTACTGTCCACCACTGGTGAGAGTGCATGTCTGCAGCCAGACCCTTCTAGCTATTGTTTCTGATCATTTTCTCAAGCCCTCTGCAGCTCTGAAAGTGCCGGATGATAACTCACAGTACTCGATGCCTAGGACGATGTCTCTAAAGTAGAGGCGTGCCTGCTCTTCACTGAAGGGGTTTTCTGTAGGTACCTCCATCACAGGCCTGGGAGAGAGAGAGAGAGAGAAGGGGAGGGCATGTCTGTAATTGAGAGTTCAATAGAGGTCTAATACTTGAAGAGTCTCATTACAAGGAGAGGTTTAAACACAGCGTTTGAAAGCAGAGGCTGCACGAACCAGAGGAGCTGAGCAGTGAGAGGACACTACAGTGCATAATTCACATAAATCCTCCAAACACTACAGCCAGTCAAGAGATTTACATAAAAAACAACTCACGAATTCCCCCCACACCTCCCCACACCTCCCCACATCATTCATAACCTACAGACACGCCAGCACAGTGCTGAGGAAAGGGCCAGTTCAGGCCGTTCTGCTGGATAACAGTCCATTCTGGAATTACCAAAGCAGATCCTTTGCTTTTCACTGAACACAGATGCACAAAGCAGAGCGAGACCAAATAACATGCTCGCCCTCCACGCTGCAGCAGAGCCGATTAGCCGGCCGAAGCGGCTTTCAATTACAACAAAATGTCACATTTAAAAAAGAATGGAGTCGTGTGGCAAAGCGGGATACTGCCTGCCCTTCTATAGCGCTTTACTGAGACTGCAGGGAACTAGCACAGCTTTATTTCTGAGACAGGGAAAGAGAGACAGAGAGATAGGTAGATAGAAAAAGACAGAAGAAGACAGAAGAAGAGTGATAGAGAGGGAGAGGGAGAAAGAAAGAGTGATAGAGTGAAGGAGAGAGAGAGAGAGAGAGGAAAATAGACATGAAGAGAAAAAAATAAAGAGAGAAAGAGACAAAAAGAGACAGAGGGAGAGAGAGAGAGAGAGAGAGAGAGAGAGAGAGAGAGAGAGAGAGATAAAGTGAGAGATGCAGAGAGAACCAGATAGATTGAGAGAAAGTCAAAGAAAGAAGTAGGGACAGAGAGAGAGAGAGAGAGAGAGAGAGAGAGAGAGAGAGAGAGAGAGAGAGAGGGAGAGAGAGAGAGAGATCAAGAAAGAAATGGAAAGAGAACCAGATAGATAGATAGATAGATAGAGAGGGAGACAGAGAAAGAAGTAGTGACAGAGAGAGAGAGAGAGACAGGGAGAGAGGGAGAAGGAGAGAGAGAGTGAGACAGAGAGAGATAAAGAAAGAGATGGAAAGAGAACCAGATAGATAGATAGATAGATAGATAGATAGAGAGCAAGACAGAGAAAGAAGTAGTGAAAGAGAGAGAGTGAGAGAGAGCATAAGAGGGAGAGAAAGAAAGACAAAAGAGAGATAGGGACAGAAATAAAGAAAGAGAGAGAAAGAAAAAGATAGATAAAGAATAATAGAAAGAGAAAGAAAAGGACAAAGAAAAAGAAAAACAGAGAAAAAGACAAAGAGAGGAAAAAAGAGATGAAGAGAAAAAGTGAAACAGAGAGAAAAACAAAGCAGAGAGAAATAAAAAAGGAGAGAAAAAGAGAAATAGACAGAAAGAGAAAGAAACAGAGAAAGAGAAATAAAGACAGAAAATGAAAGAGAAACAAAAAAGAAATACAAAGACAGAAAAAAGAGAAACAAAGAAAGAGAAAGAAAAGAGATAAAGTGAACAGAAAGAAAAAGAAAAAAAGAAATAGAGACAGGTGGACGGATAGATAGATAGATAGATAGACAGACAGACATCGAGAGAGAGAGAAAAAAAGAGAAAGAAAGACAGAAAAAAGATAAAGAAGACAGAGAGAAAGAGACTGAAAAAGAGATAAGGAGAGAGAAAATAACTTTAAACTCAGTACAGAGTTATTAATCTAAAGGTTTATCATATACAGTATTGGGTAACTCAACGAAGCTAAGTTAGGTAGAAGTTACGACATGCTGCAGTCTGTGTGCGAATGAAAAAAGAATGAGAAACAAATAGTCTAAAAAAAAACGAGTGAATAATAATAAAAAAAGAATACGACCAGCAGAGAAAAAAATAATAACGGTAATAACCGTAAAGTGAAAACATGAGCATGTAATGAATCCCTTGGGAAGATGGGAGCAGAAGGGGCAAACGGAGGCGGAACAACAGAGCTGAAGAGCTGAGTGATGATAGGTATGCTAGAGAGGACGGGTATGAATGGAGGGATGGAGAGAGGCAGAGAGAAAGACAGAGAGGAGCCAAAGCTTCAATTACACACAAGAGAGGACACAACACTCACCCTTTCTGCATTAGCTCGAACACTGCGGAGAGAGAGAGACAGAGAGAGAGAGTATTAAAACAAACATACAGAACTGTTGCACTAATGTACAAAATACTTTTACTGTAGATCAATTCACCATCTCCACCATTCATTTCTCTCTGCAAACTGAACTGAGGAGAGCATTGGTTTAGCATGTGTTCTCAAGCATGCTGTGATAAATGTGATGTGCTTGACAGAGAGTAATCTGACCAACACCACAATAGCACTAATTTCCACTTTCCCCATAATAGATTTGCAATGTTATGTTAGCAGTAAGCCAGCAGTACATTCACTGTCCAACACTGTTTACTGCCACCACCCCAATTCCGAAGAAGCTGGGACATAAGGCTAAATGCTAATTAAAACAGAAAGCAGTGATTAGTAAATTCTGTTCGGCCTGTATTAAATTGAAAATGGTACAAAAACACAAAATTTGATGTTGTAACTAATAAACCTTATGAATATGCTCTCATTTTAAATTTGATGCCTGCAACATGTTCCAAAGAAGTCAGGACAGGAGTGCGTTTAACACGTTCTTGTCTTACATCACCTTTCCACCTTTTCAACAATACCTAATGATCATTTGGAGACTGAAGACATCAACTGGTCCAGTTTTGAAAGAAGAATTTTTTGCCATTCTTTTGTTATACAAGTCTTCAGCAGTGCAGCTGTACAGGGCCTTTGTTAAGCATAATAAAACATGTTTTCAATAGGAGACAGATCTGGGCAGCAGGCAGGTCAGTCTAGCACCCACACTGATGGTCATTATGGACTGAATTTGTCATTGGGAATACTTGGATCGTGACAGGCACAAAATGCAACCAACTTCTAAGACCGAACTTTGGAGGTGTGAAAAAATATCTCTGCAGATTTTACTGAAAAGTTGACAGCAAGTCTCCTGAAAAGAATGGAAGCTCTAATAAAGGCAAAGAGTGGACGCACTGAATGCTGAAAAAAACTGATACTCACCTGCACTTCACAGCTGTCCTTATTGAAAATAAATAAAAAGGTGGTCTTTGACTCAGTAGTGTATGTCTCAAATGTAACTGACATTTGTGAATTAGTTGGAAAATTTGCATTAGATGAGCAATTTTATTATACATGGTTACAACATGCAGTTTTATGAGTGAATCAAAACTACAAATGAAAGTGCTGCTTTTTTGACATCTCAACGGCCAGAATCTACGGTGAGTGTAGATCAGTGGTCTCCAACTCTGGTCTTGGAGAGCTGCCCCACCCCTTAGTTAACTCTAACACATGTGATCCAGCCAATCAGGGACATGGACATAGGCTGATTACCTGAAACAGGTGTGGCAAATTGTGGTTGGAACTAGGTTCTGCAGGACCAGGTTAGGAAACCACTGGTGTGTGGTTTGGTATTTTCAAAATGGCTAGTAGCAGCAAACACAAAATTCCTGCACCGCAGACAAAGGCACGGTGTTGTTTGGAACAAGAGTTCTCCAAACTCCGCAAATTGCATTCTTTTTTCATTTGTCCTGCTTGTCAGCGAGAGCAGCAGGGGGAGATGAGCTTCCATCCACAATCTCTACCACTGTTATAGAGCACTTGTCTGCAAAATTCGCCAAATCGATTTCTTCCCTCTGACAATGGGCTCTGGGCTTTCTCGGCTGGCTGCTGCTAGTAGGAGAAGTAAGATTGTGTAAGGTGTGTAGAGCTGGGGTCTCAAACTCAAATTACCTGGGTGCCACTTGCTAGGTGATTTTCTCTAAGGGTGGTCAGTTGAAAAATATAGGGTCCCTTTTTTATGTATGAGGTTTAACTACATAATACACTTATTTAAGTGGATCTTAGTCAATGTTTACTAGCAACTCTTCTGTCACCACAAACCATGAACAACAACAACAACATTAACAACAACAACTACTACTGCTGCTACTACTACTGATAATAATAATCCTTCAGTATTATTACGGTTAGTTTGGTTAATTTTGCATTCTCATTGCTGAGGCTGAATCTCAAATCTCAATTAAAATATTGGTTACTTTACAACGGCTTCCAACATCGCCCAGCCAATCAGATTTCAGGATAAGAAATATCTGTTTTATAATAAAAGGTGTTTGTCAGCACACCTTAAAACAGTTTCAGAGGAGACATGTCCAGTACTCCTAAAGCTCCTCAGCTATGGCCTTGCAAAATCATGCCAGCAAAAGTCACCCACGAAAATCACTAACATCATAATCTACATCACGTAAGATGCCAAAACGATAATTTCTCCATGTTTGACACATATAGGTGTCACTGCCCACAAAATGTATGTCACAAATAACAACGCTTATGGGATGCTTACAGCTGGATATTAGATTAGAGTTTGGTCTGTGAATAAATTTGAAACAAACTGAATGTAAATATACAAGTGTGGTGCCCCTAGCCTTTGACTGGCTCTGGACAGTTGCCCAGATCACCCACATGGTAGATCCAGCCATGGGTTTGACGAATCCTTGTACTTTGTTTTTTTTCTCTATTTTTACATAGTTGTACGCAAAGGTTTGGGTCAAATTACATGTTTTGTTGATTTTCTAAGTGTTCACTTATTTTCACATGTAATTTGACTGGGGATGTTCAAACAGGAGTAAAAAATCAGGCACACAGGCATGCAATCTCCATAGACAAACACTGCCAATAGAATGGGTTGTACTGAAGAGCTCAGTGACTTTAAATGTAAGGATGCAAACTTTGCCACAAGTCAGAAATTCTGCCTTGCTAGATCTGCCCCAGTCAACTGTAAGTGCTATTTTAGTGAAATGGAAGCATCTAGGCGCAACTACAGCTCAACCACAAAGTGGAAGACACAAAGGCTACGTTCACACAGCAGGTAAAAGTGGCCCAAATCTGATCTTTTTCCTCAAATGTGACACAGATGTGTGTCTATGTGTCAGTGTGAACAGCAAAAAACGCATTGAATCTGACAATTTCAATTCTGATTTGAGATGCTTTCATATGTGGTACTGAAATCCGATACGTATCCGATCTGCGGCAATGAGACTCAGTCTGAACAGCCAGATCGGAATTCATGCGACTTTTATGTCAGTCCAACTCGACATTCGTCATAATTTCGTGCTGCTGAGACTCATAAACATTTAGTCTGATGTTTCTGTACTAAAAAATTTGAAGACTCAGCGCAACCGCTCTGTGTTTGAAGAGGTTTCGAACGAAATGGCCAAACGTGGCCGGAGGAGACCGAGGCTGTAGCGTCAGAGAAGAGTTTAAAGAATCCAAGGACATGAACCAAAGAAGTGGCCATGGCCGAATAACGTGCCCTTTTTCGACAAACTCGAACACACTGTGGGTGATGAGTCACCTCACAAATGCTCTTTTGACTGAAAGGGCACAAACCCCCACACACTCCAAAATCTTGTGGAAAGACTTCTCAGAAGTGCAGAGGCTGTTATAGCTACAAATAGCTACAAATATTCCATATGGTTTTGGAATGGGATGTCCAGCAAGCTCACATAGGTATGATGGTCGGGTGTCCACATGCTGTTAGCCATATAGTGTATTTCAGGCTAGAATTGCTTTTTTTTTCCAGTATCCAATCTAGCTCCATTCTAGGGTTCTGATACTGAAGCTGAGTTTAGGATGGGTGCTATCTCAATTCAATTACCTCCAGATTCCAGTTGGGAAAAAAAATAAAAAATTCTGAATGCCCCGAAATCTGCACTCTAGAGCCAACCAGCACAGATTCACTCTTATAAGAACTTGTTTAATATAACTCTGGCTGAAACAGTACTATTGATTGGTAGCAATGAAATGAACCAACTTTCAGGCCTAACAAACCTTACTTTATATGAGGTTGACTTTTTAATGACAAAGTAATCATTTACTTTTAAGTTGAATAGAAATTCAATATTTTGGCAGATTGTTGTGTAGCTGAACAGTTCAATGCCCTTACCCATGTGCAGATTGTCCTCAGCTGGGTCATCCAGCACCTGAAAAAGAAACATTATGTGGATCAAAAGCTCCCACAGGCCCTTTCTGTGCTGCAGTGGTGTTAATATCAATGTCGAAGAGATGTCGAGCATGACCCAGAATTCTGCAAACTGGATTACGCAATGTACAAGTCACACTACATAACATACAAAACAGGGACGCAAGCTAAAACGAGAACAAAAACGGAACGTGGGATGAATGTCGTCCCCTGTGGAGCATATTTATTATCTTTCTGCACTGTTCCTACAATGACTAGAGAAGCTTTTGAAGCTACAGAGTCATGCAGAAGTCTATTGAAATACAGTACGGCACACCAGACAGTATATTATTGTACACAATCATGCGGGAAAACATGGAGAACAGTAAACTATTTATGAACAAACTGACAACCATGGAGTGGAGCATTGCCTATTATTGAAGTCTCTTTTAGCTCTAGCCCAGCCCTCTCACTCTTTCCCTCTTGGCCTTTCTCTAAAAGCCTGTGATTGAAGGACACTCCAACAGGGCCATGCTGAGAGCTCAGCAGTGCCCCCCTTTTCTCTTCAGTATCCTTCCATCCCACCATTTTTGCTCGCTCTCCTCCTATCGATCTCTTTCTTTTTGTCTGATCTTAAAGGTACAAAGGATTCCTCGGTTCAATAACGGCTAATTTCTGAAAAACTGCCATTTGCTTTGTCCCCCTGCTGGACGACCAGCTGCGTGACTCAGTTTTCAAGTTCTGATTGCACTGAGTCACATTCTTTTAATCTTCAATTCAATTCTCAGGGTGCTTCTCTCACATTCTCTCTCCACAGAACCACATCAGTCACTTAGGCTGACTCATTTAAGCCTCAGGCACCGTTCCGAAAAGCACTGCTCAAACAAACTTTTTAAAAGCCTGAAACCTCGGCCTGAATCTCAGCATCTCAGCTCACATGAAAGGCTTCTTTCTAAGTGTCAAAGGACCAGCGCTTACCTCCACCAGCTTGACGATGTTGAGGTGGTCGAGCTTTTTGAGGATGGCGATCTCTTGGTAGACCCTCTCCAGGGGCCCAAGCACTTTAGGCTGCTCGCCCAGGGCTGCTTTTGGACCCCGCGGAGGAGGGCGGCCTGCACAAAGAGTAAGAGCAGCATTTAAAAAGAGGCAAAGGAACTGGAGATAGTGAGCTTTAACACTCAAAATAGATTCTACAGGGCAGTGGTTCTCAATTCTTCATGGAGTACCACTGCTCTGCATGCTGTAGTGTTCTCCTCACTCTAACATATTCACTTCAACTCAAGAAGGCCTTGTTAATTAGTCATTTGGCAGGACAGTGGTACTCCAGGACCAGGATTGAGAACAACCGCTATAAGATAAAGGACACTTCAAGATTAATGGTGACACCAACAGATCTTTGAAGTTCTTTCTGTAGTCAGCATCAAGCCAGATCTAAGCAGATGTCTGTAAGGGAGAAAATCGCCGCTATCTCATCCTGTGATATACAAAAATGTTCCAAACTGGATAGATTTTGTCCTTTTTATACTTTTCCACTGAATGTTAAGGGATGCTTTGAATTCTGTCACTTAGTCAAAATACGAAAAATGCTACATACATAATACAGGCAAGCTAATACTCCCGAGGACTGGAATGATGCACAAAAGTAAGTTTACTACTATAAACTATTATACATTATATGGCTAAAAGCATGTGGACACCTGACCATCTATATGAGCATGTTGGACATCCCATTCCAAAACCATGGGCATTAATATGGAGTTGCCCAACTTGTGCGGCTATAACACCCTCCACTCTTTTGGGAAGCTTTCCACAAGATTTTTGAGTGTGTCTGTGGGAATTTGTGCCCATTCAGTCAAAAGAGCATATGTGAAATCAGGCATTGAAGATGGGCAAGAAGGCCTGGCTCACAATCAATGTTCAAATTCAAGAGGTGTTCAGTGGGGTTGAGGTCAGGGCTCTGTGCAGGCCACCGAAGGTCCTCCACACAAAACTCTTCAAACCTCATCTTTATGGACCTTGCTTTGTGCACAGGAGCACAGTCAAGAACAAAAAAGGGTCTTCCCTAAACTGCTGCCACAAAGTTGTAAGTATATAATTGTCTAAAATGTCTCTGTATTCTAGCATTAACATCACCCTTCACTGGAACTAAGGGGTCCAAACCCTGAAAAACAGCCCCAGAAAGGCTCAGCTTTTTTTATCCCTCCTCCGCCAAACTTTACTGATGGCACTACGCATTCCAGGAAATAGTGTTCTCCTCTCATCTAGACTGCCAAGGAAATCCTTTTCATGAAGCTGCTAATGCATAGTTCTTGTGTTGATGTTGCTTCCAGAGGCAGTTTGGAACTCTGTAGTAGGTAATGCAAGAGAGCACAGGCTTTTTTCCATGCTACACGCTTCAGCACTCGCCAGCTTTGCTCTTTGAGTCTGTGTGGTTTACTGCTTCGTGGTTGAGCTGTTGTTGCTCCTAGATGCTTCCATTTCACAATAATAGCACTTACAGTTGTTTGGGGTAGATCTTGCAGGGCAGAAACACTTCCCATACTGCTAATGTATGTCTATGCAGATTGCAAGGCTATGTGGTTGATTTTGTAGACCTGCGCCAAAGTAACTACCAAGTTAGACAAAGCTTGCATGTTAGCAAGCAGTCTTCTGATGTCAATTCAATGCATAGCAGTGTTAGTTTGCATGCAGTAAGAGTCACATTTCAACGCTTCAACAACAAAAATAATTGAATAATTTCAATAATTTACAGGATCCAATGATATTCAGAGGAAAATATATGTAGAGAAAATGATATAAGTTTTGTAACACTTCTGTTTAGTACACGGCGCAACAATGGACATTTTCAAAAACGGCATTAATTTTTTCCATACAGAAGAACTTGCTTAGACTCTGAGTTCATTATATGGGCTTGACGCTGACTACAGAATGACGCAGTATCAGTCAAACACAAAAGGTATTGCGTCAAATCCAATTCAAAATTCGCAAGTGAGGAAAACCGCTCTCGCACGAGGAAAACTACTCTAGCACACGTGAAGCAAACCCCTCGTTTACTAAGAAAGAATTCAGCAATTACAGGCAGCGTTTCGGCTAACGCCATTGTACTGGCGAACTGTGAAGGTCGTCTTCTACAGTAAAAGCCTGCCAATCACCACACAGAAATCAGTTGTAACCAATCATATGTCGGGACCCACCCACAGCTGTCAAAAATGAATTCAACGCTTGCGCCAGCGGAAGCTTAATAGTAAGCAGAAAGAACAGTTGAGTGTCGGGCAATTTTTTCTTTGAGCGTTAGCACTTCTGCTTCTGTGTGAGTAACTCTGGATGCGAGTAGTTGTCTTCGTGTGAGAGACTAGTTTTCCTCACCTGCAAATTTTGATTTGGATTTGACGCCACACAAACAGAATTATATTTTAAAAAGTTTTAAAGGGAAATTCTGCATATTTTTTCCAAATTTTCCAAAAGTTACAATGAAAACAAGTCATTCAGAGTGGTTTACTGTGGGCAACTTAAGCATAAGCCCTTAGATCACAATGTTTTTAGGACAATGAAAAACATACATTAAATCAAGTGTGCCAAATGAACATAATACTGGTTGAAATATCATGATATTGGAAAAAAATATGTATTTGTAAGCACTGATTGCCAGTTAGTCCAAGCAGAAGAAACATTCATACGTGGAAATCCATATTGCTTCATCAGCTTCTTCTTAGAGACCACTTTCATTGCCTGGATGAAGAGAAAGAGATAGAAATAGTGGGAGGAAAAAAAGAGAGAGAAGAACAGAGTGTATTAAGCTGAAAGTTCCAAGGACGAACCGTGATGTTCTCAAACAAACACTTTTTTTTTCATCCCTTTCCTCCATTGTGCACAGAACGTCCCAATCACTATAACGCACGGAGGTGGCTGTCAGACACTTTCAAGAGCGTGACATAATAGGCTGACTTTCTTGCATTTCCATATTAATCAAACAAAGAGCCTTTATACGGTGCAGTCGGGCCGAGCTCCCTCATCCCTCCCCGCCAGCCCTAATGGAGCACTCCAGGTTCGCCTCCCAGCAGTGGCTCCGGCTAAGTGATTGCAAAAGTGATTATGGAAATCCACGAGCGAATATGGAAATTCGCCAATGAATAATTGAGTGGCAGATTCTCGAGAGTAATCAGCTCAAAAAAGGCCGCTCACCAACCAGCAGCTTTGGAACTTGGCAAAGTAATGTGCCAGAAAAAAAGAGGGATGGGATGGGCTGAAGGGAAAAAAAAAACAAACAGAAAGGAGGAATATGGTCATTTCCAGAGGTTAAAATACAGAGCTCCAGCATCTCAGGCTTATGTGACTGGCAGAACTGAGTTTCACTGTAATTTGAGAGGGGTGGGCAATATGATGATTTGTTTTATTATCATGATAAATTACATTACAATATGCTTTTCTGAGCGTATCGTGGATATCATCAGGACTTCCAGAACATGTTTCATTACAAAGAGAGCATAACGAGGCCTGTATATTTAGATTTAGTGCACTTCAATATGTGAAAGCACTGTATTAATAGTTTTATAGTAATTTTTTAAACACACCATTACGACTATTGTCCGTTCAAACTAAACATCACGATATAGTATGTTCAAGTATCATGATACTATGTTTTTGTCATATCACCCATCTCTGTAATTTAATGTCTGATGTCATATTTGATAATAATAACAATAATAATAATTACACACAATAACACTTTTTGTCTCAGGGGTGCAAACACAACATTTGTGTTGGGCTGAGGGCCAAAAAGAGAATATACAAGTAAAGAAGGTACAGTTGTATGCAAAGGTTTGAACACCCCAGTCAAATACAGAACCCTTAGGCACCTACGCACATTGTTTAAAACTATTGTCTCCACAGTATTTTTTGCCAGAAAAAAAACACTACATATGAATAGAATAGATGCAAATAAACATAAATAGAGTAAGATTTATTTATTTTGATAAAAGTAGTTGATATCTTGTAAGCTAGTTTGAATTTATATTTTTCATCCAGCCATTACATAGATTTGTTAAATTCCATCCAGCACAGTCGATTAAACATTATGAGGTACTGACTGACAAACCAAGTACTGGATGTACACAGATAATACTGGGCTACTATGAGAAAAAAGCCTTGGAAAAGGCTACATAAAATCACTGCTTATTGTACTAATGGTATTTGTTTTTGTATTCATATTAGAGTTTTTCCAAGCAAACAAATGTGACAAACCTCCTTACAGGGCAATTTCAATCAATCTAGCTAATTAGCCAGCTAACTAACACTGGCTATGTTGGAGTCCCTCAAGGTACAGACGCCATTTTGTTAGCTTTAGAATGGCTATTATCTCTAAGTGTCTTAGCTAGCACTGCAGCTAGCAGAGTTCATGGGTTAACTACATTAGCAACTTAGCAATGTCAGCTGCAGTTTAGCATGAAATGTGCTACTAGCATAAACAATGCACTAGCGCTCTCACTGGCAAGCCACATCGATGTTTACGCTTGTCTTTGCTCTCCGTTAGGCACATTTGTTTCTTTTCAACTGTTTTAAGCCCTATTTGTGTGGAATTAGTTCTTCATTGTGAGGTGGGTAACACCAGTTTACCACAGGACGTCTGTAATGTTCATGGCCGATTCGCACAGGATTAGAAATCTCAGTATAAATGACAGAGATGAGAGTGGCTGCCTTCACTTCAGAAAAGAGTAGAAAACGTCAAAACATTTCATTTAGCCATTATTCTGTTTACTCTAACCATTTAGCTTGCCAGTGCTAGTGAATACAGTGCGTCATTAGCATCACCATTAGCTTGGTAGTTCACTGCAAACAGTCAACTTCACTGCAAAAAATCAAACGTTCTTCTGTAACTTGTACATGTTATACAGTTATACAAGTTATACAAGTGAGACAGGAAGGTGACGTTACATATTGGCTTAATTTTAGCCTCAGAGGACACAAGTAAACACTTCTTTGAGTACCTCATACTTAAGAAACTTAGTTTCTTCAGAATATGATAGGATTTTCATCTACATGTCAATTCAAACAGGGTTTATTTATATGGCTCATTTCATGGAAGGTAGAAGGCGCTGAAATCTTTACTGAAGCTGGAGCATGCAGTCATTAAAAATGACTGACATGGCGCATTCAGACGGGATTAAGACCTCTGAGAAACACCGGTAAAATTTGCATTACCACACCTTCCCATGTAAAGCTAATCCCAACCAAACAGGGCTTTAGGCTTTAGCTTGTAAGGTGTTGTAGATAATGGTGGCAATTTTGGTGTTATTTTCACTGCCATTATTTATCTGAAGAACTAACCAGCTGTCCCAGTGCTTTATATAACTCAGGTTTGTAGTCCGCTACACATATGGCTAAGCTACATCCTTCTGCTACGTGCTGTGGACACAGTAGCTCCCTTCTTGGTTTAATGTTGGGTGGTCCACTTATTTTATTCCCTGTTTACAAGGCTGAGCCACATTTTATTGACAGCTGTTAGAACGTGAAGAGAATATTACACTAAAATGTTCCAAAAGGTTTTATGACTTAAGACTCACAACATTTGGAAATTGTAAGTCAGAGTTTGCAATTATATCATTTTCGACCTCCATGTACTGTTAGCAACAAGCTAGCCAGCTAATGTTTCTAATTTAATGTTCATGATGCCAACTTAACCAACTACTGTGTCAGTATGTTGAAAGCAAATACTGCTATAACCTCTTTTAAAAGTGGAGAAGGTGGTGCTTTCACTGATAGCAAGCACATGTTGGTCCACTGGCTTGATAAGGCCGGCACCCTGCTGACTGTACGCCACTGCTGGTCCACCCTCGGACTACCCAGATTACTTTCCTGCATACAAGGACTAACTAATTTTTAATCTCCTCAAACTCAGTTTTATTTTGGAAAATAACCAGTTGAAACAAAAAAGGTAGATTGGTTACAGCTGTATAACTGGCTTTATTTATTATACTGATATCATTTTTTTACTAAACTAATTTACAAGGACAACAAAAGATAGAAATAAAGGAAAAGTAAGTAATTTGGACTGTGAGTGGAAAAATTAGGGATGAAAGGTGGCATTTTGCCCAACACTCTGCTGAAGCACCAGTGGGCTTCCCGTGAAAACGCTAAGCAAAACGCCAGTGGGCCTCAAGTTTTGCCACTGTTGGCCCACTATTCTCTTGCTATCTGACTGTGTAAGTAGTGATGATGATGATGTCTCATGCTGAACTTGGAGTTAAGGACACTCTTCTGACTTTCCAAGTAAGAATTCCCAGTTTTGGGGGCATTTTCTTTGGTTTATCCTAGTTGGACATCACAAATTCTGAGTTACAAGCTTCAGTTGAACGCAGCATGATATACAGTAAGTTATGCTGCATTCAATTTAGCTCGAAAGCAGAACGTTGGAGCTTGGAATGAAGTCATTTTGGACCTCCATATGTTTGAGCTTTAAACTGGGGAAAAAGCCTTCATGAAAGTGAGTATTATTAGTAACAAGCTAGCTGGCTAAAATAAGTGAAATTATGTATTTACCTTATCAAAACAGTAATATTTATGGTGAGTGTTGTAGATTTAACCCATTACTGTGTCTGTATGTTGACTAATGTAAAGCAGAGAAGTGGCAATTCATTACTATTGGTGGTGTGAGCAGCCATATTGATTTGACATCATACAATGAACTCTGAGTTGGGATACAACGAATTCCTAGTTGAGGGGGTGTTTTTTCTTTTATTCCTGTACCTTTCATTCTAGATGAAGGTCGGAAATTTCACAATAATCGAAACTAATCGAACTAATCGAAAGCTGCATTATATGAAGGCCAGTATAAACAAGATAAGTAACATTTCTCTTGCTGATTTAGCGAAACTCACATTAGAGTGCAAAAGATCTCAATATGTTTTAGCGGCAAATTTAGCCCTTCACTGTGATGCTGAATCTTTGTGGATGTATAATCAAGCGCTAACAAATATAGCAGCCTTTACGAGGCACATCCGTGCAACATCGGTTCCTCATATTTCTACAATGACTGATTAGCATCTCATCCGAATGAAACAGATTGATTAAAAAAAGATAAGTGCACCTGTGCCTATTCTCCGCTCGTGAAAAGTGGAGGAAGCCATGCATTGTGTGAACGCGGAGCACCGAGTCTTATGCAACTGAGGAAGTGCTTTGAAACACATCTCTGTTCATTACAGGCAGAAACAGGCCGCCAATTTGCAGCACCTGCGGAAAAGATTAGGGCTCCGCAATGAATAAATGGGGAAGCTGTTTCAAGCACATCGCCCGGAATTACCTTTCTCAAGGGGGAAAAAGCTAACTGTTCAGACTGGAAATGTATTTGGGGAAACAAAAGTAAAAAAGAAAAAAAGGTTTGTACTGCTTTTCGAGTTTATTTCTCAAAGGGTGCAAAGGATAAAACAGTATTTAAAAGGCACATTTGCCCCCCTAAGGTCCACTTACAATATTTGAGTCTTATGTTCATGTATCAGAAATGGTCATAATACAGGCTTCTATCCTCAGGCATGATGAAAACAGTTTCACCAATTCACACTGCATCAAAAATTCTACGCAACCAACTTCATCATTTGACTTCAAAGACCGTTCATGCGGTTCCTCCTGGTGGGAAACTCTTTTCTGATAAAACCAAGACTACCTGAAAGCAGCATATGCAAATGAGTTGGCTCTCGTGACATCAGGGAAACAATTAATTCAAAATTTGAAATGAA